TATAGTTTTTTTATAAATATAAGTAAATAATTTTTCAATTAATTAATTAATAGTAATTAACATTAATATTTAATTAATTTGATTGTTATTTTAAATATTAATAATAAAGTTTTTTATATCTACCAGTATATAAAATTGTTATCACCTATTTATAATGAATATTTGAATTTATATTTTTAAAAAAACCATAAATATTTGTTAAAAATCAAAAAATAATTTTATAGCTATGAAATACACACACACACACACACACAAACACTATAATACTTAAATTGAACAATGTAAATTAATATAAAACTATAAAATAATTAAACTTTAGATAAATTATTTACAGCTAATCAATCAATTAATTAATTTTTTACAAATTTGTTTAACTTAACTATTAATACACTGTTGTAATAATTAGATTGTAAAATAATAATTAGATGAAATTTAATTTAAAAATAAATAGATGTTATATATAAATAGCTTTTATAAGTTTATATATTTAAAAAGATAAATTACCGAAATGTAAACACAATTTCAGGCGGTTGTGATCCGGGAGTTATTGTAATATCATTGACACTAAAGTCGCTTTCATGCGATCCGTATAACCGATACCAGCGGCCAATCATCTGATAAGCAAATAATAATCAATAAATACATTATAAATAATATTTTAAGATAATAACAATAATATTATTATTATAGTGTATATTATCTACTATTAATTAATTATTATTATTAATATCTACTAATTATTATTAGTCTATTTTTAAAATAGTATATATTTATGTATATAATTATAAATGTAAAGAAAAATTATAAATCATATTTTAAGATAATAATAATAATATTATTATTATAGTGTATATTATCTACTATTAATTAATTATTACTATTACTATCTACTAATTATTATTAATCTATTTTATTAAATAGTATATATTTATGTATATAATTATAAATGAAAAAAGTTATAAATCATGTTTTAAGATAATAATAATAATAATAATATAGTGTATATTATCTACTATTAATTAATTATTACTATCTACTAATTATTAATCTATTTTTAAAAAATAATATATATATAAAATATTTAGTTATTTATTTTTTGTTTTATAAAAAACGATAATAATAATAATTATAATTATTATTATTATTAAACTAATAAAACTATACCTCATAGAGGATTATCTGCTCTGTCGGTGTTTTAGGTAAAACTAGTTCATTGTTGTCGATCTGGTTTAATGCAGATTTTATTTTGACCTGGACCAAATTAGATTCAATTAGTATGTAATTTAAATCTAGACTCTGTAATGTACTCCGGGCCAATTTTAATAAATATTTTTGATTTGGTTGATCACTACGGGAATAGACGTCTATACCAACTATAATATAACAGTAATAACATAAATAGATAATTAAATAAATATTTTTTTAAAAAAATCAATTTTTAAATTAATTAACAGATATATAAATATAAATATTAGTTATTAAATAAAAATAAGTAGTTTTTTAAAATAATTTTTATATATACAGTAAATAATATTAAAAAATATAAATTTAAAATCAAATAATTTACCAAAATTAGTGTCAACATTTTTGAAAAGTACTATATAATAATTAGGTAGTTCATATGTCAAATATTTATAGATAACTTGTCTTGATGGTTTAATAAAATCCAATATATGCCCATTACCATCTAATATCATATGACCCGTTAGTATTTTATTTTTTGTATCGTGGCTATTTTATTTCACCCAAAAAAAAAATAAATAAAATTATATAAATTTATTTTTAACTAAAAAAAATTATATTAATATAAAAATTACTGTATTTTGAACTCCAATTCGGGCGGTTGTGATCCGGGTATTAATGTTATGTCAAACATATTATAGTTGTCTGCGTGTGAACCGTATACCCGAAACCAGCGACCAGTTAACTGATATATATAAGTGTTATATAAGAGTCAATATTTATAAAACATATAATTTTTTGAAGAAAAAAATTATAATTAAATAATTTGTTATAAATATACAATTAAATAATGCCAATTAAAAGTTTAATTTGACTAATAATCATATATAGTTAACTTTACGCTTAGCAAGGTAACTTAGTATACTAGGTAGCTTATATTAGGAAAATTATATACAGTACCCTGGCTAAAGCATTATATAATATTACTCAAATGTAAACTTTTAATTGGCACAAACTGTATATACTGTATATCTATATATAAAATTATTAACTCAACAAATATTATAACACAATATATATTTTTGTTTGAAAAATTCAATACCTTAGTCGTCAATGTTTCAATTGACGGCACTTTACGCAATTGGTCAGCCATTGTACTATCGGGAACTGACATAATATTATCGGTATCACTGGTCACAGACGATGGCGGTATTTGGTTGTTGTTGGTGTTGTCAGCTGTTGTCTTGGTATTAGCAGATCCGTCGACAACATCATTGACAACATTAGTCTGTAGCGGGATATCAAGTCCCAGCCGTTGCAGTGTTTGTTTGGCAATGTTTAGTACCGTTGGGTTTTGTACGGGCGTTGGTGTAAACACATAGATATTAACTTTAAAAATAAATAATTATTTATTATTCCTTATAATTATTTTATTTTTTTTTATTTAAAAAATTACCTTTATTATTATTGTCAGTAATTTTGAATATAAAATAACTATTTATCTCATAATTTAAGCACTCAATTGTTGCCAATTGTTGATTGTTGTCATCCCTGATAACTGTATATTTATGTCCGTCGGCATCAACTATCATATGGCCGGACAAATAATCAGTGGATGATTGTCTGTACAAAACAAACAAACAAAATATATATCAATAATAATAATAATTTTTCTCAATTTTTTAACAATTTAAACAGTATATGTTTGACTATAAAATTTTTACTATAATTTTTACTATAAAATTATTATTTTTATTACTACTATTATTATATACAATACTATATTAATACAGTATATTGTATTAATAATAGATATTTATTTAAATTATTTTTTTTTAAATTAATTTTTATTTACCGGATAAGTATACGGAATAGAGGTGGTTGACTACCCTGTATACTAACATATGTAAAGCTAATAAACCCGTCACCACTTGAACTGTACACCCGATACCAGGTACCAATTGTCTAGGATTTTTTTAAAATTTTTTTATATAAAAAAATTAATTATTTAGTATTAGTATTATTATTTAAATGTTGATAATTATCATAATAATTGATAGAAACCTTATAGAGTAGTGTTGCCAGAGTCGGTCTATTAGGCAAAACAACTTCATCGACATCACGGGTACCGCCCAACGATGAGTCCACTAACGGCGGTGATTGACAGTTAAGATACTCGACCGGTCGGAGCGGTAATTTGATACCAGTCTTATTCAATGTACGATTACATACATCCAATAGATCGTCGTCCAATGTTTCGGGTTTATCTCTGGTATAGACACCGACAGCGGCTGATAGACAACAACAACAAAAATTAACAATAGATTTATATCTTATTAAAAAAAATAATTTTTAACAAAAATATTTATTACATCAGGTTTTATGCAAGTAATAGGAGATATATAACTATATTGCCTCTACCACCCCCTCCCCACTAAGACAAAGATTTTGATACATTTAAAAAGGCAATAAAAGTTTATACCCCACTCAGTACCCCTTCCCCCACCTACTATATATATGCACATATTTCACCAAACAAACAAAAAACTTGCTCAACCCTGATATTACATATATATATCACACATATATAAGTATATATACATAAATAATTGGTAGTATGTCTATATCCTATATATATATATATATATTGTAAATATATATATAGTGGTATAAATAGTTACCCAGATTTTTAGTTAAGTCGACAAAATGTATCATAAAATAATTGGCCAAATCGGTAGACAATATTTTTAGCGATAGGGGATAACCGGTTTCATTGCGCTTCAATCTAATGATACCGTCCGCACCAACAGATGATTGTAATCGACTTATTAATTGAAAATTTTTTCTATGATTTTTTCGGATAAAAATATATGAGAAATTAATATCAATATTAATATTATGAACTAAAAAAATTATTACTATATAAAGTAATTAATATAACTAACCGTTCAATTAAATCATATTGTTTTGTCTCAACGTTGTGAACAATTTCCAGTGTCAGGCAATCAGATTTTCCGGTTGCATAGACTCTATACCATAGACCAGTTAGCTATATATATGTATATGATTTTTTATAAAAAATTTAAATTATTAATATGTTTATTTTTTTAAAAAATCAATTTTTTAACAAACTAAATACTAAAAATATTTTACTAATATTAATTGCTTAGATAAAAATACTTATAGATTATAAATATTATTATTTTTTCTTTTAAATCAGTATTTTATATAATTTATGATTTATTAGGTAAACAATACTTAACTGATCCTAAATTGAATGTCGTTTTAGTAGTGTTTTGTATACCACCGGTACCGCCGCTGCCGGTGTTATTACAGTTAACATAACTGATTGATTCAATCACTATTAATGCCAATAGTATTATCAGACAGGGATAACGGTATGTCGGCTTAAATCTAGACATTAGTTGATAATATGATTTAGTTATCATTAAATTATCAATTGTTTTAATATTTTTTTTTTTAGTTAATTCAGTTAATAGACTATATTATATTAATTTTTTATATAAAATGGAGAATTTTATAGAAAATAATTTTTTTAACAGTCTATTACTTAAACTAATTTTAAAATAAAATCTGTTTTATTACTTCAATGTTTAATTAGAAAGTATAACTAATTTGTTTTATTAATTAATTAATTTTTTTAATATGAAATCCTATTGGTAATATAAAAGTATATTATTATTTAAATTGAATTAAGCAATTATTAATTTTTTTAATGTGATATTACTGGTTTTCAGTATTACTAAATTATTTGTTTGAAAATTTTTATAATTAATTTTTTTTTTATAAAATGTACTCTACTCTACATAAATGAAAATAAATTAGAAATTACAAAAAAATAATTAAATTTATCATCAAAAAATATATTTATATTTTATATATACAATAAATTAATTGATTTTTAATATATTTTTAAAAATTAATATTAATTTTTGGGTATAAATCTAATATTTAGCGGACTTTTTGCCCGATAGGCCATTTCAGCTGATGTCTGGATACTATCTAACGGTTTCATTGATTCAATAGTAAAGTTTTGGCATATTTTTGCCAAAATAATCATTTGTTCAATTAGTGCAAATCGTTTGCCAATACAACCGCGCGGACCGGCACTAAACGGTACATAATTGTAGGCATTTATCTGAGACATTGTTACGGAATCGGATTCAAATCTTTCGGGACGGAAACGATTGGGATCGGCAAACACTAGACTATCCAAATGCATTTCGGCAATCATTAGAAAGACATCGACACCGGCCGGTATGACATAACCATTAGCACCCGTATCATCATCGATACCTACGGGACAATCTTCGACCAATCGGCGGGCAATAAACGGTGCCGACGGATACAAACGTAACGATTCTTCTATCACACACTTCAAGTATGTTAACTGTTGGATGTCATCCAATGAAATGTCTCTATTGATGTCTGATTCGCGGCGGCCAAAAATTCTGGTCAATTCGTTGCCAATTTTTTGCTGTACATTCGGATGCAAACCAATCAAATACAGTGACCAACCGATACTTGTCGAAGTAGATTCGTGTCCATTAAACATAAAAGTGTCCACTTCTTCGCGTATGTCCTCTAATGATGACAACTTGTTGTCGTTGTCGGTGTCGGTGTTGTTGTTGTTGTCTTTGATATAATAGTCGAGTAATAGATCCAGAAATGCCATACCTTTCTTATTATTATTATTATTATTATTATTATTATTATTATTATTATTATTATTAGTTGAATTGATAGACAATTGTCTAATTTTTTCATTGATAACATTGCGGGTAAATAAATGAAAACTATCGAGTGATTTACGAAATTTTCGACCAATCGATGTCCAATAAAATATCCGATCGGACCAAATCCATGGCATAAATATACGTTTCATAAATACCTTTCCCATATAATGTATATCTGAAACATACGATTGATTTTGGCCTAACTGTGCACCCACTTGTACACCCATTGCAGTTTCTAATAATAGATTTAGTATATATATATATATATATATATAAATATAAATATATATTAATAATTAATAATGTATTATATTAAGTATGATTTTATATTAAAAATTATTAATAATAGTTTTTAACAAAATTTGCTATTAATATTTAATTTGTATAAATATCTAATATTTTTTTAATATATATATATATAAAGAAGTATTTCATTAATTATGTCCGAGCGGTTTTCTAAATAACTTTTGATCTGGTAGAGATAAATTATTTCTGTAAAAAGTTTATAATTTAGTTATTTACGCGTGATAATAACCACTATTCATTTTTAAATTTATATCACGTGATCACATTTTTAACGGGATGTTTGCAGACCACTATGTCAAAACCTAATCTATAAATGATAAGATAAAAATTTTATAGCAAATTTGTAAAGCTTAAATTGATAATTTATGCGAAGAAAATTTTTTTGAAATTGGTCAAAGAATAAATTTTCTATGGTTTTTCAAACTTGTGGAAAAAAACATTATATAAAATATTCGAAAATAAAATGACGTTATTTATGGATAGTAGACAATTATTAGATAAAGATTTTAATACTATTACTTTTTCTAAAAACAACATTTTTTATGTCGAATATTTTTTTAGATAATCAAATTTAAATAAAAATTACATTATCATATTACAATGTTGCGTTTTTTAGTGTAATTTAATTATCTGAAAAAATATTCGACATAAAAAAATTTTGTTTTTAGAAAAAGTAATAGTAGTAAAATCTTTATCTAATAATTGCCTACTATCCATAAATAACGTCATTTTATTTTCGAATATTTTATATAATGTGTTTTTCCACAAGTTCGAAAAGCCATAGAAAATTTATTCTTCGACCAATTTAAAAAAATTTTCTTCCCATAAATTATCAATTTAAGCTTTACAAATTTTCTATAAAATTTTTATCTTATCATTTATATATTAGGTTTTGACATAGTGGTTTGCAAACATCCCGTTAAAAATGTGATCACGTGATTTAAATTTAAAAATGAAAAGTGGTTATTATCACGCGTAAATAACTAAATTATAAACTTTTTACAGAAATAATTTATCTCTACCAAATCAAAAGTTATTTAGAAAACCGCTCGGACATAATTAATGAAATACTCTTATATAATCTATAACTATAATATTTTAAATTTTAATTTTTTATCCTGTTTAAAAAAAATATTTAGTTAGTATTTTTTAAAAAACTTACCACAAATAATATCAAGTACTAATTGAACTACTGGTTCCCTAATATCTATATATGATTGTTGTTGTTGTTGTTGTTGTTGTTGTTGTCCATCGATTTGTTTGTTTCTAATTATATCCAGAAATATATTTGTCTGTTTGTTCATTACTGGCAGATAATCATCAAGTTTTCTAAAATGAAATGCCGGTGTCAACAGTTTTCGTCTACCTTTCCATTTAGAACCGGTACTCAATACTAGGCCATCCCCTAACCAATCGCTTAGGAATTTATATATATATGATTTTTCAATATTGATATTGCTTGATAATATTGGCTAATTGATTATGTTATAGAAAAATAAAATAAAATTCTATGACTTAATGATAATATTGAATAGTATTTAGTTTTAATATTTATAATTATTTGTAATTATAATTTTTATTAATATCTATAATTTATAATATTATTCAATCAAACAATTATGTTTATCAATTTTTTCAACAATACTATACAATATTATCAAATTTTTCTATTATATTAAGTATTAAGTAATTGCAAGTTTTCTCTTTAATAAAATTTAATTAATAAAAAAAAACTTTAATAATACATACCTTTATAATATTTGATTTAAATATAATAACTATTGGTTTTTGACCCAATAATATCTTATAAATACCATAATTGTTGTATAGCTTGCATAATGATACTAGTATTCTATAAGTGCCTGAAAATAATTTATTTTTGTTTATTAAATTTAACTAATTTAAAAAATTTATTTAAACTTACTTTCAGTTTGTGAAACACCAGGTATACGAAACATATCTAAATTGCCAATCAATGGATATCGGGGTCGGGGTCCGGGAATTCTGGCCAAACATGAGTCCCGATAACGGTTTTTATGTTTGTAATAAAAATATATTATAAATGTAAATATAAGTCCAATCAAATAAGTTATAAACATTTTTGTTTTCAAAAATAGTTATAATTAAAAATTTAAACACAAAAAACAGTTTAGTTGTTACATCAAAAAATTTATTATTAAAAAATTTATTTGAATTAAGATCAATAAAAATTTTTACAAACTAATTAATTTTATTAAATATATTTATATATATTAATTACATTTGTATTAACAAACATATGGTCATAAATTATTAACAATTTTTCATTTGAAAAATTATTGTAATAATTTGATAATTAATTTTATATCTTACTTTTAAAACTATATATATTTATATAGTTTTATAATATAATAATATTAATAGCAAATAACTATAACTAATATTATGGCAAATAATAAACAAAATTATAACGACTTAATACAATTGCATAACATTTGCGACATAAAGTTACGCCACTATCGGCGCAAATATCCGATACCAAAGTTTACGACCCGATTGCCATTCAAACGTAATCCGTTGGACATTACTGTCGGTGACGACGACGGCGCCGCTGCCGATGAACTACATCAATGGTTATACCAACAGTTCCCTACTAGTCATATATCTCTAGAAAACTATCGCAAACTAGCGACCAATTCTGAATTGGTTACGGCTTATCTCTATCCACTATGTATTGAAAAGGACAGGTATTATCAAATTTTACAGCATATGATCTATTTTTTTATTATGGACGACAATACTGAGGAACCGTGGGGTCGATTGACTAGCGATCATATGGACGAATGTCGGCGCGTTTGGTCGCAAGTGTCGCAACTATTCAGAAATATTAGTTACGGCGACCAAACTGACAGCAGAAGCCATGGTATAGACGATATGGAAACATACATCAGACAAATACAGCCGACATTTGCTAATATTTATCAGTCATTGAATGACAAACAGTGGTGTCGTTTTGCCGATTCGTGGTTAGACTACGTGAGCGGTAATATTGTTGAAAACCAGGCCAAAGGTCGACAACGATTTCTATCAGTGGATCAATTGTTAAGCGTATGTTAAAAATTTTGTTTATTATAAAGATTTAGATATTTAATTTACATTTATTATATTTTTATAAATAAATATATATATATTATACCTTGGTAGATTGTGATACCCATTTATTAGCAATAAAAATTTAAAAAGGGCGTAACTAGTAACCAAATAGTATACATAGTACGACCTTCTATTCTTCTAATGCATGTTATCTATTAGTACATGTACAATATAAAAATAAATTAAACATTATTTTTTTTAAATATTAAATAATAATACACATAAATCTTAAAAATAAATTATAAAATAATATAATAAAATTTTCAATAAAAAAAATATAATAATTATTATATTATTTTTTAAATTTTATTATTCTGAAAAAATTGTTTGTAAAAGTTATTACTATTATTAAAAATTAATAGATTCGCCGTAAAACTATAGGTCTATTACCAACAGCAATATCACTGGAATATGCCTACAATATAGAGATCCCGGAGCCCGAGTGGTTGGACCCACGCATGCGATTACTATTGCAATTAATAAACGATCATGTTGTCTATGTTAACGATTTGTTTTCATTTGAAAAAGAGCTCCGGGCAAACATTAGACAACTATTTAAGGGCGCCGATAGTTTAGTCGATGATAATGATGACGACTATCATCGACAGGTATTTCCTCAAATAGCCAACACTGTAGCCCAGACTGCTCTAGAGCTCAGGTGTTCAATACTGGAGGCGCAGACAATGATTATCAAACGTATTGAACAATTAGAGATTGAAATCATAAAACTATTAGGAAATTGGCAACAAAGTGATGGCCCATCACAGTTAAGTCCCGGTGGCCTACAATTTATTAGAGGACTAGTCTATATACCGGGCGGTAACTATAGGTTCAGTTTAAGTGTCGATCGATATAATAAATTTGAATAAAAATAATTGATTTTATAAAATCGATTTTAATCATTTATTTTTTTTTGATAATGGATATGATAGTAATGTCAAAACATCATCAAAATTAAAAAATATCTTAAAATTATTTTTTTTCAAAACTAAAAATCTTTTTTGACAAATTTTAAATAGCATTTAACTTGAAAATTATATTACTAAATTTATATTACTTTTAAATTAAAAGTTAACTTAATTAACTTTAATTAAAATCATAAATATTGCAATAATTTTATTATTAATAATACTTAATAATAATAAAATTATTGCAATAATTATGATTTTTATAAAAGTTAATTAACTTTTATTAATTAAAAAAACAAAAACTAAGTTATTTAAATAACTTAAAATTAATTATTAAATTATTACTTTTTAATACTACTTTTCAAATTAAAAATTGTTAAAATTAATGTGTTTTATTGTACAATATGTTTATTAATACAAATGTAGATAATTAATATAAAATTTATTTAATAAAATTAATTAATTGCTAGACATTGCTAATAGTTTTATTGTATCAATAGTTTTTAATTTATAATATTATTTTTTTGTTGTTGAAAATGTATATATATTTGCTAGGTTTTAGTTTAACTATATTTTCAGTAATAATATATTTTTATAACAAACATAAAAACCGTTATCGGGACTCATGTTTGGCCAGAATTCCCGGACCCCGACCCCGATATCCATTGATTGGCAATTTAGATATGTTTCGTATACCTGGTGTACCTCTAACTGAAAGTAAGTTTTTTTTAACTATATATATATTTTTTCTATTAATAATAATAATAATAATTACCATAATTAATAATATATTTTATAATCTATATTATTGTAGGTGTTTATAAAATATTAGAATTATTGTGTAAAAAATACAATAATTATGGTATTTATAAACTATTATTAGGACCTAAACCAGTGGTTGTTATATTTAAATCTAATTTAACAAATGTATGTATTATTTATTAAACTATTATTGGGAATAATATATATATAATTTATATATTAATATATATATATAAACTTTTTAATATATAAAAAAAATCATTTACTTTTATACTAATTATATCATTGTTTGTTTGTTTAACTATTAATATAATAATAGACAATATTTTCAAGTAATGTTAACATTGAAAGACCGTTTATTTTTAAATTTTTGATCGATTGGTTGTCTGATGGCATTGGATTGAGTATCGGTGCAAAATGGAAAGGTAGACGTAAGCTGTTGGCACCGGCATTTCATAGCAAAATAATTGATGATTACATACCATTGATTAATGAACAGACATCGATATTTGTTAAGAAAATCATTGATATATCCATTGATAGACACTATATTGATATCCGTGAACCGTCAACACTGTTATCATTGGATATTATTTTTGGTAAAAAAAATTTATATAATAATAATAATATAAAATAATACTTAAAATTACTCTATAGAAACAACAATGGGTGTAAAGTTAGGGACACAGTTAGCCAAAAATAGGTCATACATACAGGCCGTTCATGATTTCCATGAAATATTTATGAAACGTATTGTTTCGCCATGGATTTGGTCGGACACCATATTTTATAGGACACCAATTGGACGAAAACATATGCAAACAATAGAGACTATTCAGTCATTTATACGCAATATTATCAATGAAAAGAAAAAGTTATTTATCATTAATAATAATAATAATAATAATAATAATAATAAATCAAAATTAATAGACAAACAAAAATTTAAGACACTTTTGGATCTATTACTCGATTATCATATCAATGTAAACGACGACAACAACAACCTTAACAATAACTTGTCTGTCGATGACATACAAGCAGAAGTCAATACAGTTATGTATGCCGGACACGATGCTAGTTCTACTAGTCTCGGATGGACACTCTATTTGATTGGATTGTATCCTAAAGTACAGGAAAAAATTCACAAAGAATTGGAAACAATTTTCGGATCAGACAACGACAACAACGACAATGACATCAATAGAGATATAACTTCGGCAGACATTCAACGGATGACTTATTTGGATTGTGTACTAAAAGAATCGTTACGTATGTATCCGCCGGCGGCTATTGTTGGTCGCCATTTGGTCGAGGATTGTCCGGTCGGTGATAATAATAATAATAATTATGTCATACCTGCCGGTGTCGATGTCATTATAATGGTTAGACAAATGCATTACGATAGCGAAGTTTTTGCCGATAATCCCCACAAATTCAGTCCCGAACGCTTCCAATCAGATTCAACAATAAATGCCAACAATTATGTACCGTTTGGTTCCGGTCCGCATAATTGCATCGGTAAACGTATTGCACTAATCAAACAAATGATTGTTTTATCAAAAGTTTTTCAAAACTTTTTTATTGAATCAATTGAACCTTTAGATAGTATACAGACAGTCGTCGATATAGTTTATCGGCCAAAAAGTCCGCTTAATATTAGATTTATTCCCAAAAATCTATAGATTTTAAAATAAAATGAATTTTCGGATTATTTATTTATAATCTAATATTATTTTCTAATTATATGTTATTATTACTTATTATGAAAGTTATAATGAAATGTTTTTTTTTATAAATGGATACTAATTGACAATATTATTAAAATACAAATACTGTCAAATATATCAATACTATTACCAAATAAGGCAATAATTAGTACGGAATCTTTCAGTGACTGTTTCAACGATTCCAGCCGTTTGTCTACCCGTTTCAGTACACATGTCTCGCCGCTTGTCATCTGATATTTGGCCACATCATCGCTGTGGCGATCTTTTTTGGCTTTCATTTTGTTTATACGTTTAGTATTCAATTGCCAAAAGTGTTGTAAGTCGTGTCTATCGAGCACTTAGGCCATCACATGATGACCATCGATGACCAGCTTCTGGACATCGTCCGTATCGTCAGTTATTCGATTTGTATTCAATACAGTCGTAGCCATAATGTTACGATTGAAACGGACGTAACAAACATTTTTGCGGCCAATTTTCAGTACATATTTAACAACTGGTTTTGAAACTCTTCCACCGCCTCGTAGTCGTCGTCGGCATTGATAAGGACTGCAAACTTTGTAGAAGTAGTGGCGGATCGACTGATATGACAACCGATTGGGCACTTTCTTGAGCATCAATACAGATGAGTTATGCGGTATATAAACGTCTTCAGTATTATTATTATTATTATCATTGATTTCGGCATTTCTCTCACTGATGGCTAACCTAATGATACGTTTAACAGTTTTTCTGATTTTCAATTTGTTCACAAATTCACGTTTGCGTCGATAGTATTGTAGTTTATTTTCTATTATTAATTCATTGTAATAATTAAAATAAAATTATTCATGTTTTAAGTTCACTTTTATCAACAAAAAGCAAATCTATAATATATATATATATATATATGTTTTCAATTATTTTTTTTGTTAAAAATTTGATGTAAATATTATTAAAATGTGTGTTCGTCTGGAAATGCTATCTAACATTGTCAATTGGTTATAAATTTATAGGAATTAATATATATATATATATATATATATACAGATAATGCCAATTTTAAATTTGAGTAATATATCATGTATACAGTTATCAATAATTTTACGCTAAGCTAGGTAACTTAGTATACGCAGTTAACTTATATATAGATAAGTTATATACAGTACCCTGGCTAAAGCATTATATAATATTACTTAAATTTAAACTTTTAATTGGCATAAAAAATATATACTGTATATACAACAACAACAAAAATATTATTATTATATGATTTAGTAATATTATGCTAAGCAAGGTAACTGTTAGTATACAGTTAGCTTATATTAGGTAAGTTATATATACACAGAATCTTTAATGGCATAAACTTTGTATTAAAACTAATTTATATGGTTTAATCAGTGGTTAGTCATACTTGAGTTATACTGATTCATATGTTAGAAGTAGTCATATCCCTGTGCCTGATAGAGTCGACACTAGCTTTCTATTTATATTTAAATTATAATTATAATATATATATATATATATCAGGATGATTATACGGATCCTTATTTTAAAAACGTAATTAACGACCAAGATACAAAACTATTTATAATACATAAATTAAATAACTCAATTTTATATAATACATAAATTAAATATACTACTTAATTAAAATAAATATCCTGATAACGCCTGATATATACTGTATATATATTAATATAAATTTATATTAATAATTTTAGATTAAATTTAGATTAAAAAATAAAAACATTACAAAACAAATTTAAACATACTAAGTAACTTATTTTTAAAAAATAATTTCATAAATTAATATCATAGTCATATATATATATATATATATACAGTATATATATTTATATCTAATTTGTTTAATACTTTATTTTTTATTTAATTAAAATTTGAATTAAATTTGATATTGATGTATAATAAAATTTATTGAAATATATGATAGAAAAAATATTCATATAATTATTTATTAATTATTACAACCTCCTAATGATTGCATGTACATTTATCCGGGTGTAGTGTTGGTACTAGTTTTGCATGACTGACCAAACGGGCTAACTGTTCAACAATTTTTGTCATATCTGGATCCGATAGTTTAGATGTACGTGAAAATAGTATATAGTTTTCTAAAAATAATAATAATAAATAAATAATAATTATTATTAATATTGTACCTTAAATTTTAATTATTTTTTTTTGATTAAAAAAAATAAGTAAAATATTAGATACTGAATATAATAATTATAAAAACATAATATAATAATAATATCTAAATTTTATGTATTTTATATTAATAACATAATTAAGTATAGTATAACATAGGTTATAGTACTATACATACCGATTACATCATCTTGAAAATTAAACGATTTTAATGCTAGGAAATGTGTTTTCTGTGTTTCGGCTCCGGTATCCAATATCCATAAGCTTGCAGTTATATCTTTGCCAATCATTGCCAGCTGACTGTTAGCATCGGGTAATTTTTTCAGTAAACCGGAGCTTAATTTTGAACAGTCATTACTGTTGAGACATTCAAAACAAAATCAATAATTTATATAAAAGTTTATATTATTATCAATAATATTATTTAATGAAAAATATATTTATAAAAAAAATTATTATTATAACAAAAACATACAAAGTTGTAAATGTAAGTTCCGATTGACTACCGGTTCGGTTGAATACAGTTTGAGCGCACAGTTTGTTGTTTTTCAACGTTGCATACAATTCATACCATTTGCCCTCAAGCTATGGGAGATTTGATTGTTATATCATGAAAGAGATTAATATGAGTTTCATTTTAATAAAACCCCTCCCTCCCCCTCCACAAAAAAACCACAGAATATATACCCAATTAAAGTTATCAGTTTTCAATGAATTGGCAACAAAATCACGGGCCACGGGTGACGGAGTGGCCAGTAATTCGGCAATTTTTTCAGTGGTTGTCGATAATGATGTAGTAGTAGTAGTAGTAGTAGTAGTAGTGGTTATCTCTGGTAATGCTGGACTTATCTCATCAGATATGGTAGTTATCTCTGGCGGCGGTGGCGTCACATCATTGGTAATGATCCGACTTATGTCGGGTACATATTTGTCATCAATGGACAGTAGTGTATAGTCGAGACCCAATTGTCTGAGTGTTTGTTCGGCAATGTTTAGTATAGTTTTGTTTGGTTTGTTGGATACGCCAAACACATCGATATAAGCTATAAATTTCAAACATTTATATATTACTAATTCACATATAATACTAATATTTAGTTTTCTATACATATTATTATAATATATATGATAGAAATTTTATATTTAATCAATAAAGATAAAAAAAATTTAATTAAATTTAATAATAATAATAATTATTATTTTAGAGTGTATTGTATTTTTTCGATAAAAAAGTTAAAATATATTTTTTAATATAGAAATTTTTTTATATATAAAATAATTGAAAACAATTATAGCTTACTTGTAGGATCATTGATGAATATAGACTTAGACATAACAAAACAACCGCTTTCGTAGTTTAATATTTCAATGGTTGCAAACACTTGATTATTATTGCCATCCATTATAAATTCAAACTCATTGTTGCCATTAATTTTCGGACGCAAAGAGCCGGATATATATTTATTTTCATTTTCTCTAAATATAATTAATAATAAAATTAAATATAAAACAATAATAATATTTCACTTTATCAGCATATTAATTCAAAAAAAAAACTAAAAAATTATTGTCTAACAAAAATAAATAAATAAATAGTTTACTTGGCTATAATTGCCACATATGGTTGAGTGCTATTAACATAGGCTGATGTTATTGATTTAAATCCAGTCCTATCCGAACCATACATCCAACTCCAGGAACCAGTTATCTAATAATATGTTTTTTTTGTGTGTGTATTAATAATAATTATATATTTTTTATTATTTATATATAAATTTATAATTAATATATATATATATATATATAATACCTGAGGTGTTTTCAGGGTCAGTGGTTCTGGCAATACAATTGGCTGAACATTATTATTAGGTTTAGTTTGAAGATTTGTATTATCAATGGGTGTGTCGGCATAAACAGTCAATAATGTTATATTGTTTAGACCCAACATCTCAAGTGTCCATTTGGCGATCTCCTGTACGGTTAGATTTGGTTTGTCTGATCGTGAATAGACATCGATAACAACTACAATATAATTATAAATGAAACAAAAAAAATAATAATAAGTTAGTTAATTATTTTAATTTAATTATGGAAAAATATTAATTAATTAATTAATTTTATACTAAACAGAATATATTTTTTTTAAATATAATAGTAATAATGATAATAAATTTTATAATACATTTTTTTAATTAACGTAAAAAAATTAATCAATTTTATACTAAACAATATATATATATATATATTAAATCTATTAATAATACTAATATATTTTATATAATACAAACCAGAATCTGTATTTGGGTTTAAACTTTTGACAATAAAATAACTGTTTGAATCGTAATTCAAAAAATCGACTTTAGTTTGGCTTTTAGTGTTAGTGTCGACCAATAAATAGGTTTTATCCAACAATTGTATTTCATAACGTTTTGATACATTGATATGATTAAGATATCTATAAATGAAAAAATTAATAAATAAATAAAGTAAAACTTTAGTATAAACTTAAAATAAACATAATAATAATAATAAATAAAACAATTTTTCTTGAACTTAAAACTATATGATTTTTTAAAAAAATATTAGACAAATATTTCTATATAATTTACAAAAATAAATTATTAAAATATATTATTTAATATTAATAATAATAATAATAATAATAATAATAATAATAATAATTACTGTATATTAAACTCCAATTGTGGCGGTTGTGTATTAGGTATGGACAAAATATTATAGCCATAAAAACCATCGTTGTTTAGTTCAGATGAAAAAACTCGAGTCCAGCGACCAATAAACTAATTTTTTGAATATTAAATATATATATATAGTTTTAATAAATAATAATAATTAAAATAAATAAATAAAACATTATTTTTTTATTTTTTAGTTACTTTAGTGATATACGTATACAATGGCGGAACTCTTGGCAATTGTTCAGCAGTTACTGCTACTGGTGTTGCTTCTGGTGTATTTGCACCGGTAGTTTGTGGATCTGGTGACACTTTATTATTAGATACAGCCGGTTGCTGATCAATGGTCAATAGGTTGACATTATAGCCTAACCTATAGAGTGTACGGTAAGCAATGTCCAGTTGTGTTTGATTTTGTTTGGCTGATCGCGAATATACATCAATAATAACTGTTTATTTCCAACCAACAAAAAAATAAAATAATTATTATTATTAATATATAAATACTATTTTTTTTTGTTTTGCTATTTACGAACCTTTATTATTATCATCAATTGTTTTGATTATTTTATAATATTTTGATCTATAGTTCAAAAATTCAACAGTTATTAACTGATCCGTATCTGTGCGTACAAATTGATACTGTTTGCCCACTAATTTGATTTGGACTGTATATGTCGATACACTACTGGTGCTACCATTGCTATTGCTATCATAAATGAAAAAAATATAATATATAAATATATTTATGTGATCATGATTATTATTATTAAAAATAATTAATAAATAACCTAGCTATAATATAATACTAGATTTTCAAGTTGTTTTGATTTGAATTTTTTTTTAGATAATGTATTTCTATTTTGTAATTAAATTAATTTAGTAGTTAAGTGATTTTTTTTTTAAAAACAACCAAACATAATAAAAATAATTATAATATTTAGTACTTTATGTCAAATTTCAATTGTGGTGGTAGTGTACGTGGTATGTATGTTATACTATAGCCCAGTGGACCGGCCAATTGTGAACTATATATCCGATGCCAGGGACCTATTAGCTAAAATAAATAAAGATACATATAATTAAATATACTCTAAATATTTTTATATATCTATATACTATCATAATAAATATCTTAAATACTTATTTTAAATAAATTAATATTTTATATACTCTACTGATATATACTAAAATAATATTTATTATTAAAAATATATATAAATTCAATACTCTTGTAATCATATGTGGAGTAGACGGTACTTTTGGCAATAATTTTGGTAACATTATATTATTGACATAATTCATGTTCCATTTAAGTGAATCAGCTTGATCAATTTTATAATTTAGATTCAGCCGGGCCATTGTTTGTTTGGCAATATCTAATATTTCTAATTGTTCAAGGTTATTGCTATATGATCGGGAAAATACACGGATACCAACTAAATAGATAATTATATACACAAAAAAATCATTAATTTTATATATTACTATATATTATAATTTATTTTATAATTTAGTTATAATTAGACTAGTTATAAAAATATTAACAAAAAAACGACCTACCACATTTTTTTGAAAATTTTTTATATATTAATAAATATTATATGTAAATTATATGCTGCATATTACATGTAATTCAGTATTTATAATACAAATATATTATATACTGTTATACTAGTAATATTACAATTATAAAATAAATAAATTTATATAGTTAATTTTTATACCAGTTTTATCAAATGTATTTTCAGATTTGATCATAAAAAATGTTGACGACTTATAGTTTAAATAGTTAATTATATATTTAACATCACTAGCTGTATAATCCAATGTATACTGATTGCCATCTAATTTACCACGAGCCATTACATAATATTTGTTTAGATTGTTTCTATACAATAATAATAATGATTAAAAATTATTAATAAAATTTTTATATATATATATATATAAGTAAACAAAATTATAAATATAAATTTTTATATTTATATAAATTTAGTAATTTAATAGTAGACACGGGTTTTTTATATTAAAATTTATATTTATTTTATATATTATATTATACTATATATTAATTAAAATATCATTACCTAATAATCCATTCCCATTGTGGCGGTTGTGTATTAGGTATGTATGTTATATCGTAAACATTATCGCTGTTTATATTTGTACCGTAAATCTCATACCAACGACCTGTCAGCTAATCAATCAGTTAATAATTTGTTAATTAATAAAAATAATTAAAAATAAAATATTAAATATATAAATAATTAGAATTTTTAAAAATATATTAAATACTATAATAAAGATACTGTACATATTGAAATTTATTATAAATCATTTAAATTAATATATCAGATAATTGTTTATTATTATACTTATTTTTTTAACTAAATTATTTAAACATTAATTTATAATAATTTATTATTATATTTAGAGAACCAAATTTTTTACAAAAAAAAAATATTTTTTATTTTTTTTAAATACCTGATCAATCATTGTTTCAGCTGACGGTACGTTTGGCAACGTTTGGTTATTGACATTATCGGCACCGGTAGTCGTAGACAGTGTAGTGTTTTGGGGTAATAGTGGATAAAAAGGCATTAGACTGACGTTTATGTTTAACTTATTCAATGTTCGATAAGCGACGTCCAGTATATGGACGTCTTGTTTGTTTGATCGCGAAAATACGTCTACAGTAACTAAAAAAACAAATTAAATTGACATTTATTATTAATTAATTAAATAATAAATAAATATTCAAAAATTATTTAAATAATAATATTTATGCTAATTAATTAGTATCTAATAGACTTTTAAAATTTTTAGTAATAAAATAACTAGAAATAAAGATTATTAAATAAGAAAATTAACTATTTTATAAAATTTATATATATATATATATTATAAACACTTAATATTTATATCTAATAATTCAATGATAAATTATTGTAAATTATATAATTAGTTATTTTTAGTTATTTTAAAAAAATACAAACCATCATTATTATTTATATTTTCTTTTAATATATAAAAATTAGCAGGATCATAATTTATTATTCCAAAATTATATTCTTCATTATTATCGAAACTTATTGTTTTGAGTACATTATCCGTTGTTTTTATCATTTTTACTCTCAAAACATAATGATGTTTATTATTAAGCGCTCTATATATATATATAAAAATAAATAGATTTAATTAATTAATTTTTTTTTAAAAATATATTTTATTACTATTTTTTTTTGTATATAATATTAAATTTTGTATTAAATAATAATAATTATAATTACCTAATATCATAATTAAATAGTGCCGGTTCTGTGCCGGGTATATAAGTTAAATTAAATATATCGTAAAACTCCATCCGTGAACTATACACACGATACCAGACACCTGTCATCTAAAAGTGTCAATCAATTAAATTAAAACAAAACAAACAAAATAATTAATTAATATTTATATATACACTTGAAATCAATACAATGTTAGACTCTATCAAGTTTATATATATATATATATATATTTAAAATTATAATTGCAAATTAAATAAAAATTTAATTTTATTAAATTTATATATATATATATATAATAAGCATATATTATATAATACTATCCTAACCTCAGTCATCATTTGGCTCATTGTTGGTATTTTGGGTAAACTTATTGGCAATAAACCGAAATCAGTTGTCCTAATGTCTGACTCCAACTGTTTGACGGGTATTAGTCTGTATTTAAGACCCAACCGTTTTAGTGTATGATTAGCCAATTCTAGTAAATCGTTTTGATTTGATTTACTCGATCGCGAATATACGTCCACACCATCTATATATCAATATATATATTAAATATAAAGTATAAAATTAATTGCAATAATATATAATTAGTGTTATTGAAACGGTTTTTTTTGGCTATAACTTTAAAAAGTAATTTAATATTTTTTTTGTTGCTATTATGTAGTGGAACGGTTGTCATAGCATTAACACATTTAAAATATTTCAATTATTATAAGCATGATAATTTTTTTTAATTGAATAATCATTTTTATAAAAAATATCGTAAATAATAGATTAATCTCATAACAAAATACGTTTGAAATTTTTAATTTAAACTATAATATATCAAAATATTACATTTTGTACATTTATGTATGTATATATATATATATATAAGGGGTAGTTTACATATTACATAGAAGGGGGGTTGGGGGGTTGGCCCTCAGGGTAAATGCGAACGTATTTTTTTTAAAAATTACTATGTTTTTTAACAATTGCAAACATAGGGGAGGGAGGGAGTTTAAATTTCTAAAAAAAAGTGTGAACGTAATAAGTGAATCGCCACTAATGCATTTTACAGAATTTCGATATCAATTATAAATTTTTTTAGATTTCTAACAGCCATTAGAAATATGTTAATACTATAACAACCGATCCATATATCTATAGTACCAAAAAATATGATATAATTTTAACTTTTTATTACTTTTAGTTAAGTTATAGCCCAGAAAAAAATCGTGTCAAACACTTTTGTCCCAAAATAGTATAGATTATCAGATATATAAAAATGATTTTACATTCATGTGTTGACTCTCTATAATAATGTCCGATAAAATATTTTGTCGGATCGTAATTCAAATAATTCAATGAACCCTTAATTTTTAATCTATCAAAAACATATGTACGATAATTGCCATCAATTAGTAGACTACCCTGATCATATTTTCTAGGATCAGATTCAGATCTATTTTAAAATTAAAATAAAAACAATAATAGTTTTAAAAAAATATTGTAATTAATTTAATAAAATTTATCGAAAAATATGATTATTAATTAATTAATTAAATTATATATTAATTACCTTAAAATCCATCTAAATTCGGGCGGTTGTGATTCGGGTATATATATAATGTCATTGATATTCATATGCCAGTCCTGTTGAGTGCCAAACACCCGAAACCAGCGGCCAGTCATCTGTAATCAATGTATATATAAAATAATAATAACTATCATTAATAACATAAATATAATTTATTGATATATATATATATATAGTATTATACTGTATTATATATTTTTTTATAGTTATGTATATTTGTGTGTAAGAGTAAATGATTCATTTCAAAATAATAATTTAAAAAAAAAATATTTATAAGTAATATATCTATTTTGATGGATAAATTTATAATTATTTTTTAAAAATTTATTTAAAAATATATTAACTAGTCTAATAATTGTAACAATATTGTAATTATTGTGATAATAAAAATTTATTAACCTGTCTTAATAACGTATGCATTGTCGGTACTCTCGGTAAATCAATTTTATCGTTAGTTTGATCAGTCAATTGATTTTTTGGTTTAGGATCCGATGATAGTTTGCCATTAATATTTAACTGTTTGAGTGCCTGATTGGCAATTTTCAGTACAATTAGATCCGATTTGTCCGATCGGGTAAACACATCGACACCGACTATTTAGAGTATATTTTTTAAAAAAATAACAAAAATTAATTAAACTGATTAACTTATCAAATATTAGATAATTTAATTATTTAAGTCAATAAATTTTAAATAATTATATTTATCTCAATGAAAAATTTAATAGCAAATAATATATATAACATACCCTCGTTAGTTTTCAAGTTTAGATATTGAAAAATCATATATTTATTTGGTTGGTAATCTACAAATTTAAATAAAATTTTGATCCCATTTTCCTCGGCTACATAACGATTGTTTAACAATGTCACGTGACCAACTTTATAATTTACATTAACATAAGATGATCTAGTACATTTATATATATATAAATTATTCAAAAAAAAGTTAGATAAATAAATAAATATATATTAATTTCTAAATAAAAAAAACTAATAAAATATATATTACTTTCTAAACCATTTCAATTTGTTTGGTTGTGATCCGGGTATATTAGTTATGTCATTAACATTATAGTCATTCATGTTTGTACTGTACATCAGATACCAGCGACCAGTCATCTAAATTGATATAATTATTATATCAAAAAAAATTATTTAATATTATATTTAGATAATTAAAAACAAATTATAATAAATAAAAAAATTATTTATCCTAATTTGATCCATACCTTGTTAGTCAATGTTTGTATTGACGGTATATTTGGTAATTCATTAGTTAGTATAGGTTTTTGTATTGCCGTTGCATTTGGCAAATCATTATTATATTTATTTATAAGATTTCTACTCAAATCAGTTGAATCTTTAACAGACAGTAGTTTAAAATTAAGGCCTAACTGTTGCAGTATTTTTGTTGAAAGATTTAGCAAATTATTATCGGAATTATCGTTACGGGAAAACACGTGTACACCAGCTATTGATTGACAAACAAAAAATTAAACAAATGATATATTAATTAGATTATTATCACAATTTAATAGATAAATATATATATATAGCTGTCTATCATAATAATTATATCTAGAAATTATACAGTATATATATATATATATATAGTAAGTGATATACATGTATATATGTGTGTGTTTCTAAACAGTTTATAACTAAATAGTAATATTAATTTATATTTAATATATATAAAAAATATATATATAACTATAATTAAACGTGCTACTCCTATTATTATTATAAATTACTTATAAATAAAAATAATATTAATTTGAACAATGTATTTATTATTATTAAAATATATTATTTTAAAAAATAACTATTACTAAAAATTACTACTACTACTACTATTAATAATAATAATAATAAATTTTAATTAGTTATAATTAAATTAGTTATAATTAAAAATTTATTAAAAACAAAAAAAAACATAAGCTTACCATTGATATCATTATTATCATTATTATTATTATTAGTACTGCTATTAAAGTATATAATATAGAAAGCTGTCGGTTCGTAATGTAAAAATCTATACGAAAGTCGACTACCAGTAGCCGTATTAACCAAAATGTATTCATTGTTTTCAATTTTTAACATATTTCTAACCACTTGACTGTTATCCACATTACTATAATTAAAATTAAAATTTTTAAAAAAAATATTATTTACTAAATTTAATAAAATTTAACTAAAAAAATAATAATAATATGATTTAATAATAATAACCTCAATATATAGTTTATTTCTGGCGGTTGTGATCCGTATGTATATGTGATGTCATTTATATTAGTGTTTGTTTCTTGTGTACTGTAAATCCTAAACCAGCGACCAGTCAACTGATTATTATTATAGTTAATAAAATTTAAAAAAATGATAATTAATTAGTAAAAAAAACAAACAAACAAAAATAAAATGCATATTTTGTATACATAATATTTTTTTTGTTAGTCATATCATATATAATCAAAATAAATTATATGCAATAATAATAAAGTCATAAACAATTACCTCATATAAAACTATCTGAGCTGTAGGTTTGTTTGGCAAAACAACCAGTTTATTATCGACCTGGGTCATTGCAGATTTTATTTTAATCGGTACCAAATCGGTTTCAATCAGCGGATAATCAAGTTTTAGACTTTCAAGCGCTTGTTTAGCCGTTTTTAACAAATAATTTTGTTTTGGTTTATCATATCTGGAAATCACGTCAACACCAACTATACAGACAGACAACACAACAAAATAAATAAATAATTTTTTATGTCATAACTATTAATACATTATTTAAATTAAAATAAACAAAAATATATGTATATAAATTGTATATATAGATTCTATTATAGGTTAACTATTATAAGTTAAGTTAATTAACTTGCCAATTATATAAATTTCTAATATTATTTAAATTAAAATAAACAAAAAATAATATGTATATAAATTATATATATATAGAGTCTATTATATGTTAATTTATAAGCTAATTAATTGCCATTTATATAAATTTCTAATATTATTATTTAAATTTTAAAAAATAATAATAAATAAATAATTACCTGCATCTGTATCCGTATTTTTGTATAATATTATAAAATAATTTGGCAAATCATACCACAAATATTTATAGACAATGGGTTTTATATCACTTATGGCAAAATAGACGACATAATCATTGCCACTAACTATCATACGTCCCGTTTCTGTTTTATTATCTGTATCGTGACTATAGGTGTTAAAAAAAATTAAATTTTAAAAATCACAATTTATTCATATTTTTGGTGAAACTTTTTTTTTAAAAAAATAATAGTATTAATTAATTTAAAAAAATAAAATATAATTTTAATTACTGTATAATAAATTGCATTTCTGGAGGTTGTGTACCGGATATGTATGTTATTTCATATGTATTATATTCTCTCTGTTTCGAGCCATACACCCGATACCAGCGACCAGTTAGCTAATAATTGATCAGTGATTTAAAATAAAACAACAAATAAAATATTTAGAGAAAAAACATCAAATTTTTAATAATAATAATTAAAATTTTTAAAATTCTAATGATCAAATAAGTATAAATAAATATATATAAACTAGTATATAGTTAATTTGATAATAATATAAGAAGGCGTTCAGTTAATTTGTATCAAACGGTTTTCTTAATAATTCTTTAACCAATAGAGATAAATTATTTCTGTAAAAAGCTTATTATAAATTAACTTATACGTGATATTATACACTATTTAATTTTAAATTTGAATCACGTGATCACAATTATCTCGGGATGTTTGCGAATCACTAGGTTCCAACTAAAACTATAAGAGCTAGAATAAAATTTTAATTGCAGGTTTATAGAGCTTAAATTGATAAATTATTTGAAGAAAATTTTTTTAAAATTATTCAAAAAATTAATTTTTTTATGACATTTTATACTTGTAAAAAATCACATTATATAAAATAGATACAGATAAAATTAACGTTATTTATGGACATTAGACATTTATAAGATGTAGATTTTAATGCTATTACTAATTCTAAAAACAAAATTTTTTTATGTCGGATATTCATCGAATTACAATAAAAAAAACAACATTGTATTAGATAATGTAATTTATATTGAAATTCGATTATTTAAAAAAATATTTAAGATGAAAAAATTTTGTTTTTAATATTAGTAATAGCATTAAAATCTACATCTTATAAATGTCTAATGTCCATAAATAACGTTAATTTTATCTGTATCTATTTTATATAATGTGATTTTTTACAAGTATAAAATGTCATAAAATATTCATTTTTTGACCAATTTTAAAAATTTTTTCTTCAAATAATTTATCAATTTAAGTTCTATAAACCTGCAATTAAAATTTTATTCTATCACTTATAGTTTTAGTTGGAACCTAGTGGTTCGCAAACATCCCGAGATAATTGTGATCACGTGATTCAAATTTAAAATTAAATAGTGTATAATATCACGCATAAGTTAATTTATAATAAGCTTTTTACAGAAATAATTTATCTCTATTGGTTAAAGAATTATTAAGAAAACCGATTGGTACAAATTAACTGAACGCCTTCTTATATTACTGATAGTAATATATAAGTATATATATATAAAAAATAAAGTATATTAACTTATAAACATAACAAAAAAAATATATTTTAATTATCGATAATAGTTGCTATTTTAACTATCTATAAAAACAAATACAAATCATAGATTTTAATTAATTGATATTTTAAATATATTTTTTTTTGTGATTGCTATATATATATACTTATATATATATATATATTTAAAACATAAAAACAATCACACCAATGGAAAACCATAATTGTGATATATTGAAAAAATATTTATATTTTAAAAAAATCAATTAATTAAAATCTATGATTAGTTTTTATAGATAGTTAAAATAGCAACTATTATCGATAATTAATATATAGTTTTTTTGTTTTGTTTATATGTTAATATACGTTATATTAAATATATATAACAAACAAAATATTTAATACCTGATTCATAACTGTTTGAACAGTCGGTACTTTTGGGAAACCATTATTTGGTATCAAATCTGGCATCCAATGAGTCGGACCGGTCAGCGGCTGTATTGGATAATTGAGACCCAATTTTATCATTATTTTTAAAACCATTTTTCTAGTGTTTTCATTGGTTTCATCGTTTCGCGAAAACATATCGATCCTAACTATACAATTCAATTACAAATTATTAATAGTTATTATTGTTATTATAAATAAAATACTAATCTATGAAATATTAGTTATTATATTTATAATTAATATTTAAAATATAATTTTATTAATAATTGTAATTTATTTATTTTTTTTAATAAAAATACTTACTTTTATTATTATTAGATATACTTTCAACAATATAAAAACTTGTCGGTTCGTAATATAAAAATCTATATTGAAGTCGATTGCCATTAGCATTGTTAACCAATATGTACTGATTGTTTTCAAATTTTAGCAAATTTTTTACATTTACATTGGTTTTATCATTTCTATTTACAAATATATTATTTTAAAAAATAGTTAGAATTTTGTTTATATTGATTAATTATAGTTTTTTTAAAATTTAAGTAAATATTTTTTTCAATTAATTAATAGTAATTAAGTTTATAATATAATTAAAATTAAATAAATTTATTGTTTTATAAATATTATTAATAAACTATTTTTATCTCTACCAGTATATAAAATTGTTATCACCTATTTAAAAATAAATATTTGAATTTATATTTAAAAAAACCATAAATATTTGTTAGCGATTTTGTTAAAAATCAAAAAATAATTTTATAACTATGATACACAGACAAACACACTGTAATACTTAAATTGAACAATGTAAATTAATATAAAACTATAAAATAATTAAACTTTATATAAATTATTTACAGCTAATCAATTAATTAATTTTTTTTAAAAATTTGTTTAACTTAACTATTAATACCTTGTTGTAATAATTAGATGAAATTTAATTTAAAAATAAATAGATGTTATATATAAATAGCTTTTATAATTTTTTTTATATTTAAAAATAAATTACCGAAATGTAAACACAATTTCGGGCGGTTGTGATCCGGGAGTTATTGTAATATCATTGACACTAAAGTCGCTTTCATGCGATCCGTATAACCGATACCAGCGGCCAATCATCTGATAAGCAAATAATAATCAATAAATACATTTAAAAAAAACTTATAAATCATATTTTAAGATAATAATAATATTATTATAGTGTATAATATCTACTATTAATTAATTAGTACTATTACTATCTACTAATTACTAATCTATTTTTTTGAAAATAGTATATATTTAAAATATACATTTTATTTTATTTTGTTTTTATTTATAAAAAACGATAATAATAATAATAATTATTATTATTAATATTATTATAGTGTATATTATCTACTATTTATTTCTAATAATTACTAATACTATCTAAAAATTATTAATCTTTTTTTTTGAAAATAGTATATATATAAAATATATATATTTATTTGTTTTTATATAAAAAACAATTTAAATATAATAATAATTATTATTATTATAAAACTAATAAAACTATACCTCATAGAGGATTATCTGTTCTGTCGGTGTTTTAGGTAAAACAAGTTCATTGTTGTCGATCTGGTTTAATGCAGCTTTTATTTTGACCTGGACCAAATTAGATTCAATTAGTATGTAATTTAAATCTAGATTCTGTAATGTACTCCGGGCCAATTTTAATAAATATTTTTGATTTGGTTGATCACTACGGGAATAGACGTCTATACCAACTATAATATAACAGTAATAACACACATAGAAAATTAAATAAATATTTTTTTAAAAATTAAATAATTAATTAACAGATATATATATAAATATTAGTTATTTTAGTTATATTAGTTAAAAACAAATTATTTACCAAAATTGGTGTCAATTTTTAAATTAATTAACAGATATATAAATATAAATATTAGTTATTAAATAAAAATAAGTAGTTTTTTAAAATAATTTTTATATATACAGTAAATAATATTAAAAAATATAAATTTAAAATCAAATAATTTACCAAAATTGGTGTCAACATTTTTGAAAAGTACTATATAATAATTTGGTAGTTCATATGTTAAATATTTATAGATAACTTGTCTGGATGGTTTAATAAAATCCAATATATGCCCATTGCCATCTAATATCATATGACCCGTTAGTATTTTATTTTTTGTATCGTGGCTATTTTATTTCACCAAAAAAAAAATAATAAAATTATATAAATTTATTTTTAACTAAAAAAAATTATATTAATATAAAAATTACTGTATTTTGAACTCCAATTCGGGCGGTTGTGATCCGGGTATTAATGTTATGTCAAACATATTATAGTTGTCTGCGTGTGAACCGTATACCCGAAACCAGCGACCAGTTAACTGATATATAAGTGTTATATAAGAGTCAATATTTATAAAACATATAATTTTTTGAAGAAAAAAATTATAATTAAATATTTTGTTATAAATATACAATTAAATAATGATAATTAAAAGTTTAAATTTGAGTAATATTATATATATTGTAGTTAACTTTACGCTTAGCAAGGTAACTTAGTATACTAGGTAACTTATATTAGGAAAGTTATATACAGTACCCTGGCTAAAGCATTATATAATATTACTCAAATGTAAACTTTTAATTGGCACAAACTGTATATACTGTATATCTATATATAAAATTATTAACTCAACAAATATTATAACACAATATATATTTTTGTTTGAAAAATTCAATACCTTAGTCGTCAATGTTTCAATTGACGGCACTTTACGCAATTGGTCAGCCATTGTACTATCGGGAACTAACATAATAGTATCGGTATCACTGGTCACAGATGATGGCGGTATTTGGTTGTTGGTGTTGTCAGCTGTTGTCTTGGTATTAGCAGATCCGTCGACACCGTTAACAACATTAGTCTGTAGCGGGAAATCAAGTCCCAGCCGTTGCAGTGTTTGTTTGGCAATGTTTAGTACCGTTGGGTTTTGTACGGGCGTTGGTGTAAACACATAGATATTAACTTTAAAAATAAATAAATAATTATTTATTATTCCTTATAATATATATATATATATATATAATTTTTATTATTTAAAAACTTACCTTTATTATTGTTATCAGTAATTTTGAATATAAAATAACTATTTATCTCATAATTTAAGCACTCAATTGTTGCCAATTGTTGATTGTTGTCATCCCTGATAACTGTATATTTATGTCCGTCGGCATCAACTATCATATGGCCGGACAAATAATCAGTGGATGATTGTCTGTACAAAACAAAACAAACAAACAAAATATATATCAATAATAATAATAATTTTTCTCAATTTTTTAACAATTTAAACAATATATGTTTGACTATAAATTTTTACTACAATTATTATTTTTATTATTACTATTATTATATACAATACTATATTAATACAGTATATTGTATTAATAATAGATATTTATTTTAATTATTTTATTAAAAAAATTAATTAATTTTTATTTACCGGATAAGTATACGGAAAAGCGGCGGTTGACTACCCTGTATACTAACATATGTAAAACTAATAAACCCGTCACCACTTGAACTGTACACCCGAAACCAGGTACCAATTGTCTAGGATTTTTAGTTTTTTATAAAAATTAATTATTTAGTAATATTATTATTATTTAAATATTGATAATAATAATAATAATAATTGATAGAAACCTTATAGAGTAGTGTTGCCAGAGTCGGTCTATTAGGCAAAACAACTTCATCGACATCACGGGTACCGCCCAACGATGAGTCCACTAACGGCGGTAATTGACAGTTAAGATACTCGACCGGTCGGAGCGGTAATTTGATACCAGTCTTATTCAATGTACGATTACACACATCCAATAGGTCGTCGTCCAATGTTTCGGGTTTATCTCTGGTATAGACACCGACAGCGGCTGATAGACAACAACAACAAAAATTAACAATAGATTTAGATCTTATTAAAAAAAATAATTTTTAACAAAAATATTTATTACATTAGGTTTTTTTGCAAGTAATAGGAGATATATAACTATATTGCCTCTACCACCCCCTCCCCACTAAGACAAAGATTTTGATACATTTAAAAAGGCAATAAAAGTTTATACCCCATTCAGTACCCCTTCCCCCACCTACTATATATATGCACATATTTCACCAAACAAACAAAAAACTTGCTCAACCCTGATATTACATATATATATCACACATATATAAGTATATATACATAAATAATTGGTAGTATGTCTATATCCTATATATATTGTAAATATAATATATATAGTGGTATAAATAGTTACCCAGATTTTTAGTTAAGTCGACAAAATGTATCATAAAATAATTGGCCAAATCAGTAGACAATATTTTTAGCGATAGGGGATAACCGGTTTCATTGCGCTTCAATCTAATGATACCGTCCGCACCAATAGATGATTGTAATCGACTTATTAATTGAAAATTTTTTCTATTATTTTTGCGGATAAAAATATATGAGAAATTAATATCAATATTAATATTATGAACTAAAAAAATTATTACTATATAAAGTAATTAATATAACTAACCGTTCAATTAAATCATATTGTTTTGTCTCAACGTTGTGAACAATTTCCAGTGTCAGGCAATCAGATTTTCCGGTTGCATAGACTCTATACCATAGACCAGTTAGCTATATATATGTATATGATTTTAAGAAAAATTTAAATTATTAATGTTTATTTTTTTAAAAAATGAATTTTTTAACAAACTAAATAATTTTGCTAATATTAATTGTTTAGAAAAAAATACTTATAGAAAGATATTTTTTGTTTTAAATGAGTATTTTTAAAAAAATAATTTTATGATTTATTAGGTAAACAATACTTAACTGATCCTAAATTGAATGTCGTTTTAGTAGTGTTTTGTATACCACCGGTACCGCCGCTGCCGGTGTTATTACAGTTAACATAACTGATTGATTCAATCACTATTAATGCCAATAGTATTATCAGACAGGGATAACGGTATGTCGGCTTAAATCTAGACATTAGTTGATAATATGATTTAGTTATCATTAAATTATCAATTGTTTTAATATTTTTTTTTGTTAATAGACTATATTATATTAATTTTTTTTTATCTAAAATGGAGAATTCTATAGAAAATAAATCATTCAAAACAGTCTATTACTTAAACTAATTTTAAAACTAATATCTGTTTTAATACTACTTCAATGTTTAATTGGAAAGTATAACTAATTTGTTTTATTAATTAATTAATTTTTTTTTTATTTAATATGATATCTTATTGGTAATATTAAAAAGCGTATATAAATGGCTCGTAATTATGGTACAGTATAAAATATCACAAATTACAGTACAGTTACATATATAATATATTTTTTTCGATAAAATTATTAAAGCAATTATTAATTTCATTAATATATATGATATTATTGGTTTATAAGTATTACTCAACTATTAATGTATTTGTAAGATTTTTTTTTTTAAAAAAATAATATTACATATTACTAGACATTTTGAAATTTTTCAATAATTTTTTTTAATGTATTGTATAAAATTACAAATTGACATCATAAAGTATATATATATATAATATTATTTATAATAATTTTATAGTATACCTCTAGAGATTGGCTAATAGAAATTTTTATTAGAAAATTTCTAGTAAATTATTTAGAAATAAATTGCTATAAAAATTGTACTTTATATATATACAGTATATTATATACTATCATATATTGATAATACATAATAATATACTGTACACTACATTAATTTAGTTAATGGGTTCCCTATAAATTTATATATATAATATTAATAGAATTATCTAATTATAGTTATAATTTTTGTAAATTTTACAAAAATAATTCAAAAATATTTTTTAAGTTTACTTTAATTAAATAACAAAATTAACAAAACAAATACACAAAACAAAACAAACTGAAATTAAGGAAAATTCAATATTTTTAATATTAATTAAAATACTAATAATAATATTTAGTAAATATTTGTAATTAATTAATTTTAATGCAGAATTAAAGCTAAAATTATTATTTTTTAATTTATATTTTATTTTTTAAAATGATAATTTATTAGTTATTGATTAATTATGTATGCATTGTTAAAAAAATGCATTAAAATAATTTATATATATATATATATATTTAATATAACTTTATATATTAATTTTAGTTAAACAAATATTTTAGATAAAATTTTAGTTTTACAAATAAATAAATATTTGTAATATAGTAATAGTATGAAATTAGTAGTGTAAACACTAAATATGGTTTAATTTATTTTCATTTAATAAATTATTGTTTATTTTTGATATTTTTAAAAAAAATAAAATAAAGTTACAGTATATATATATCATATTATAAGTTATAGTAAATTTAAACAATATATAAATTAATTTATTTGTTATATATTTATTTTAGTTGACTATTTTTTTTTTAAAAAAACAACAAATAATTTAAACATTTATATAATAATCTTATTACTACTAACTAAATATAAGCTATTTTTAATTATAGTATAAAAGTTATTTGCTTTTGATTGTCGATATTTTGTAATTAATTAATTAATTTAATTACTATTATTTCTATTAGTGTTTCAATAGATTATTGTGTTTCATATAATGTTAAATTTAAATTAAATTTTTTGATAACATTTTTAGCTGTTTTCAATAAATCCGGTTGATTTTGTGGTTGAAATCGGGAAAATACATGAACACCAACTAATCAATTAAAAAAAAATCCAACAAAAAAATATGAAAATAAAAATAATATTAAAAACAACCAATTTATATATACATACTGTATATTAACTATATAAATATTTTGTAATTTTTATGTTCAATGTTAGTATTTATTATAATTTTAAAAAAAAACAAATAACTAAATAAAAAATAATATTAAAAACAATCAATTTATATATATTATCAAAAAAATATATACATACAGTATATTAACCAGTATAAATATTTTGTTATTTTTATGTTAGTATTTATTATAATTTATTTTTATTTTTTTTTTTAAAAATCAAATAACTAAATAATAATATTAATTTTCAATTTTTTAGTAAAAAAAATACCTCGATTAGTTGAATTAATTTTTTTAAATTTTAAAATCATATAGCGTCGAGTATTGTAGCTTAATAATTGATAAGTATACTGGAAAGTTTCAAAGTTAACCAGGAACAATTTATTTTTAGTATCCACTGTCATTTTTCCTGGTTTTGGTTTTTGTCTATAGTTATAAAAGCTATTTTTTGTTAGCAAACAAAAAAATTAAGAAAAAAAAAATTTAAAAAAAATTATCTAATGTTTAATATTTAATTTTTATTTATTTTTAAGATTAGTTTTTTAGTTAGCAAATTAGTATCAAATTATTATATATATATATATATATATATTGATTTAAATCTAGTTAATAAATAAAAAATGTTAAATTAAATTTTTAAATAAATTAAATTATCTAATCTTTAATATTAATTTATAGATTATTTATAGATTATTTATAGATTATTTATAGATTATTTATAGATTATTTATAGATTATTTATAAATTATTTATAGATTAGTATCAAATTATTATTTTTTTATATTTAAATATAGTTAATATATAAATAAAAATGTAAAATTAATTTTAAAAAAAAATTAATTAATATTAATATTACACATATGCCCATAAAAATTCAGCCGGTTCTGTATTGCTTATGTATATTATATCAAGGTAACCGCAATAATATTTATTAGTCGAATAAATCGAATACCATAACCCAGTCATCTAATTTTTTTTAAAAAAAATTTTAATAAAAAATTAAGTTTTAAAAAAATTATATAATTTGATAATAGTATATATAAAAAGCAATGGTTTTTAGTTATAGTTTTTATGTCAATTGTTAATTTGGAAATAAATTTTTTGATGAAATGATCTGGATCAAAACAGGAATACAATCGAAATATATATATATATATAATTTATTATAAAAAATTGTATCTAGCTAATAAAAGAATTAAATTTATAAATTAAAATATATATATATATAAATAATTATAATTACACTGTGACAATTTTTTTTAACAAAAAAAACTACTACAAATTGTTATTATTAATTTAATTTTTAGTTTTTTAAAAAAGTTTTTTAGTGGAAATTAAACTACAATTAGTTTCATTTTGAATGGATATTAATTTTTGTTGTTTTTTTTGTTATATATATATATATTTAAATCCTTTATAGAATTTTTATAAATAAACATTAATTACAATAATAATAATAATTATTATTATTATTATTACTAGTAGTAGTAGTAGTACTACATTACCTTATTTATGATTGAAGGTATTGATGGTAAAGCAGGGAATGTAATGTTATTTTTGTGTTTATTGTTGTGACTTTTGTTGTGATTGTTGTGATCATTGTTGTGGTTGTTGTGATTGTTATGATCATTAGTGTGATTGTTGTTGTGGTTATTGCTGTGATCGTTGTTGTGAGTTTTGTGATCGTTGTTGTGATTGTGATCGTTGTTTTGCTTGTTGTTGTGATTATTGTGATCGTTGTTTTGCTTGTTGTGATCGTTGTTGTGATTATTGTGATCGTTGTTTTGCTTGTTGTGATCGTTGTTGTGATTATTGTGACCGTTGTTGTGATTGTTGTGATCGTTGTTTTGCTTGTTGTGATCGTTGTTTTGCTTGTGATCGTTGTTGTGATTATTGTGATCGTTGTTGTGATTATTGTGATCGTTGTTTTGCTTGTTGTGATCGTTGTTGTGATTATTGTGATCGTTGTTGTGATTGTTGTGATTGTTGTGATCGTTGTTTTGCTTGTTGTGATCGTTGTTTTGCTTGTGATCGTTGTTGTGATTATTGTGATCGCTGTTTTGCTTGTTGTGATCGTTGTTTTGCTTGTGATCGTTGTTTTGCTTGTGATTATTGTGATCGTTGTTTTGCTTGTTGTGATCGTTGTTTTGCTTGTTGTGATCGTTGTTTTGCTTTTGATCGTTGTTGTGATTATTGTGATCGTTGTTTTGCTTGTGATTATTGTGATCGTTGTTTTGCTTGTTGTGATCGTTGTTTTGCTTGTTGTGATCGTTGTTTTGCTTTTGATCGTTGTTGTGATTATTGTGATCGTTGTTTTGATTGTTGTGACCGTTGTTTTGCTTGTTGTGATCGTTGTTGTGATTGTCGTTGTGATTGTTGTTTTTACATTTAACAAAAATATTAGACTCATTTATTAATGATACCATTACTAAAATTAAGCATGCTAATCGGATAAATGAATTAATTGTAAACATTATTAGTGTAATTAATAATTAAATTCAAATTAATAATAAAACAAAAAATATATTAATTAATTATTTTTATTTATTTAATTACTATTTCTAGTCAACAATACATTAGTAGTAAAATCTATACGCAATAAAAAAATTAATTTTCTAGCCTTTACTGTATTAATAATTTTATTATAATTATATATAAGTTTATTACTTAAGTAATTGAAAACTATATTTAAAACTTGTATAATAAATATAAAATTATAATTAATATATACCTTATATAAGTAAAAATAATTTCAATGTAAAATTATTTTATTATTTACATTATAGACAACAACAAAAAAATCTATTTAAATGAAATATATCTACAAATATCTTAAAATTTTATTCACACATTTTGGTTAATAAATTTTTTTTTAAAAAATAAATAATAATTTTAATTTCTAATATTTTATTTAAAACATTTAACATTACTATTAATAATAATAATATCAAACAGTAGTTTATAGTTAAATAAAATTAAAATTATTATACTAGTATATATTAAATTAATTGTTTGTTTTAGATTTTTATTTTAGATTTAGTTTTTTTATTAAAATATTATCGATAATCACAAAAAAAAAAAGATTTTCGGTTTAATTATTATTATTATTATTTGTTTGATTAAAACTATCCATTTGTATCAGTTTGTTGTAAGTTATAGTTAAGACCCAAACGATTCAATATATTGTTTGCGATATTCAATAGATTCAATTGATTCGGTCCATCGCCTCTTGAATAGACAGTTACGCCAACTAAATAACAATTTTTTTTTATTAACAAAAAAAACAAAACAAAATATTAATATAACAGTTATTTTTTTTATAGATATACAGTAGTATATAATATTTATATACAGTATATATTATATATATAGTATTTTTTTAAATTATTCATGTAAAACAAAAAGTTAAAAAAAAATTTTTGTAAAACATAACCGAACACTAATCAATATAAACTATACTATATTTTTCATACAATATATAAATATACTGTAAATTATATCTATATAAATATATAAAAGCATTTAGATTTATGAATTTGTTAATCAAAAAAACAAAACAAAACAAAAATTAACAATTAATTAACAAAACAACTACAAAAATAAATTCTATATAAAAAAAATTAACAAAAAAAAATATTTATTTTTTTTCAAATATAACTAACCTTTATTAGTTATAGTGCTTTCAAATCTAATAATTACATAACGATTCGGATCATATCCTAGTATATGATAAATAGCCTGTTGATGGTCATCATCTTTATTATTATAGGTAACCAATAGACTATTATCGTTATCAAAAATGGTGTGTCCAATACGGGGCTTTTTATTTGGATTATAATCACTAATTTAAAAATTAAAAAATAAATAAATATTAATACAATTAAATAACTTAAATTTACAAAAAAAACAATTTTAATAAGTATTCGTCCAAAAAAAAAAAAAAATACTATACAACATAATACATTATTTTTATTAAATAAATTATTTTTTCAAAAAAAAAAATATTTATCTGTGCTATACTGCATATTAATAATAATATACTATTATTATACTATAAATATTACTATTAAATAAAAACAATTATAATGAAATGAAAATCTAATTAATTTAATTATTTTTTTAAGTTATATATAAATAATATCCAAAATTATTTTAAATCACATTTCAATGACTATTTTTAAAAAATTTAATTATCAAATTTTAAAAATAAGATCAAAAATTTTGTTTCCCGATAGAGTGTATACTAAGGAAAATAATAAAAACTTAATTGATTTGTTAATTGATTTTTATTTGTTAGCCATAGTTTGTAAAAAATAATAATTATTATTTTTTATAAATATAATCATAACTTATGATTATATTAAAAATAATTATTATAAATAGCTTACTTAAATATTATATTGAATATGGCCGGTTCAGTATCGGCTATGTAATCGATGTCCATATAGCTAAATGTTCGCTTATATGTTGAATAAACTGGATACCAGCGCCCAGTCATCTATTTTTTTTTAAAAAAAAAACATTATATTTATTAATATAAATGTTTTATTTTTTTTAATTAATAAATTTAGACAAATTTAAAATATTAAAATAATTTTTTTTTTTAAATATATATAATTAAACTTATAAAATCTATCTAATTTTTTTCAAAAAAAAAATATAATAAGTGATTTTTTTCTATTTAACTAAAGTTATTAATAATATTGAAAACTAAAATTTAAGGGGAAAAACCTAGAACTCAAATATTTAACATTATGATTGATAAAATATTTTATTATTAGAAATAATTAACAATTTATATAAAAATTTTATATTAATTTTTATTATAATACTTAATTTGTCTATTTTTTAATATATTTTTATTAAGCATTATAATATAAAATGTTTGTAATTAAACTTTTTTTGTTGTTGTTAATGTATGTTAAACTAAAATAAAACTAATTATTTTTAAATGAATTAACAAAAAAAATTATATAATTTTTTTAGATAAAAAAAATAAGACAATTTTTTAATATAAAATATAATTATAGGTATTTTATTATTAATAATAATAATATTACCGTAGTTTTCAATGTCGATTCTGGCGGCAAATCAGGTAAAGTAGTCTCAGATTTATTGTTATTATTATTATTTTCATTAGATTTTAAGACAACATTATTATTATTATCATTTTGATTATTATTATTATTATTATTATTCTTGATATACTTTAAGAGAACCTCTTTTTTATTATAATCATAATTATTGTTATTATTATTATTGTTGTTGTTATTAACTGTAATATTATTATTTTAAAAATTATTTTTTTTTATTGTTGTTATACTTTTATTATAATTTTTAAATTTAAAAACTAATATTAGTCGTGTGTACTTTTTTTTATGTAAATACTACTAATTATATAAAAAACAATATTTTTTTAGTAATAAAAATAAAATTTACTAAATTAATAAAAAAATTAATTTGTTTATTCTATAACAATAATGTTAACTAAAAAAATCTACAAATAAAATATAAAAAAGTTAAAATCTATTATTTTATACTAAATACTAGTAAACTTTGATTATTAATAAAGGTTTTACTAACCATTAGTGGTATCGTTGTTGTTATTATTGTTACATTTTATAAAATTGATAGATACAAATAATATAATTGCAAATATTATTAATAACCAAGGTGATCGGATAGTTGACTTAACTTTAGACATTTTTAATATATATATATACTTATGAAATAAATTATATAATTATATAAAATAATTAGTTAAATTAATATAAATAATAAGTTTTAAATGAATTCTAAAAAACACATATTTTTTTGATTAATAACTACTAATATATTTAATTTCTAATATCTCAAATAATATAATATTTTTTTTAAATGTTAAAAATCCATAATTTATTAATACATTATTAGTAATAAAATTACACAGATTTTTTTTATTATTAAGTTTAATTAAATTTTTGTAATAAAATGGGTGAAATAAATTTTAAGAAATATTTTACTTCTATACTTAAAAAAATAATAATTTATACAAAGCTATAGTTTTTACAAAAATTAAAACTTAAACATCAAAATTATTATTATTATTATAAAATAATATGATTTTTTTAAAAAATATTTTTCTATAACATAGAATTACAAAAACAAATATTTAATAGATAATTGAATTTTTTTTTAAAAAAAACAGTTTTACACAAATGATAAAATTTTTAAATAAAATATATAGATATTATACATTATATATGATGTCAGTAATAACAGTATGTTAGGGTAAATATATAATAATTTAAATAATTTAAATAAATAATAATTATGGTTAATATTTAATGTATTTATTATTTGATGAATGTGTTAATTATTGTTTATATAAATTTTATTATTATTGACGATACTGTTTGACGATATAGTCGACCGAATAGTTTTCGGCTTTTTTGTTATCAATAAAACATTTTGATTGTCGTATTCGTTGTGATTGTTATCAGATTTACCATTATTTGAAAGTTTTAGCATTTTATCGTTACAACCATTTTGTTGCATCCGATAGAGTGGTAAATCAATTTTATACATTAATTTCAATCGTTCACCGATTTTCAATAATTTATTATTTGGACTCTTTTGACGGGAATAGACAATTAAGTCACCTATAGATAGATAAAAAAAAATAATTAAGTAATTAATTTATAATAAAATAATAATTAATTAATAGTGTTAACACATACATATACACACACATATATATACAGTATATATATATATATATATATAGACCACATACACACATATAGACTACATATACAGATACACACACATAAAGACCACATACACTCATATAGACTACATATACACACATATAACCCATATATATATATAATTTATATATATATATATATATATATACAAACACATATATACAGTATAAACCACATACAGATACATACGAGTATTGGTTTTGATGTCCAACAATAATAGGACACAAAAATCGTTTTTCTTGACCTCAAGAATTCTCACCTCTTGAGTACTGTTATCGTCATTACGGATCAACATCAGTGACCCGTCATCTTGTTGTCTAACCGTTGATATATATAGCAATTTATTTCCCTGTCTAACAAATTTAATACTGTTTATTATTATTTGATTTTTTTTTAATAATATCATAAAAAACTAATATATTTTAATATACAGTATTGAATATTAATAAACTATTATTATATACCGTATATACAGTGTAGTATAATGTAGTATTTACTATATAAAATGTATTAACATATACTACAGTACATACATGTATGTACTAATTATTGTTATATTAATTAAATTTTTAAAAACTATTATTTAAATATTTATATAGTTTAAAATTTGATAATTTGTTTTAAGAATTTTTATTATAAATATTAGAAAAATAATTAACAATATAAGTTAAATTATTTATAAAAAAAACTATTTACTACTACTATTACTACTACTACTAATATTATTATTATTATTATTATTATTATTACTACTATTATTACTACTATTACTACTACTACTACTTCTACTACTACTACTACTACTACTACTACTAATACTACTACTACTAATACTACTACTACTACTACTACTAATAATAATAATAATAATAATATTGTCATACCGTCTCTGAACCTGATATTCTAGATTTTGTTCGCCAAACGGTTTGGTTACGGGTTTTACTTCAATGTTATGGCAAATAGATCTAACAGATCCATAAATTTTATACCAACTATTATTTACCTAAATTATTAATAATAATCAATATATTATTATTATAAATTATTTTAACTATTGTAACAGTTTTTTTAAATTAAATAAACCTATAAATTATATAATATATAATAGAGTTATAATGATATAAATAATTTTATTTTTTTATAAAAAAAACATATCTCAAATAAATTCTGTTAGAAAATTTTAATTATATATAAAACAAAAACATAATATATTTTGTGTTAATTTATATTGAAGATTAATTTGTTTATAATTTGATAAAATTAATTAATTAGTATTAATTAATTAGTATTAATATAAATATATAGTTACAGTTGCATCGTATAGACTGTTAATATTTAGCAATTTAGGCGCAATCATCATAGAGTTTACATAATTTCGGGAAAACACATATAACAATAAAAACAATAATGATATAAATAATTTTATTAATGTTAAATATTTAATAATTGAAACCATTTTTGTTTACTTTAATATATATATATATAAAAACATATAATTTTATTACCTATATTTTTTTATAAAATTAAATCATACATATACATCATTGACGTTAATTACAGATTAAAAAAAATATTTTCAATAAACTTAAATATTAATAAATTAAAATTTAATTTTAAAATGATTATTAGTGTATTTTAAAAATAAAAAATTAAGTTATAGAAATTTTATTGTAGTTTTTTTTATAAAAATTTTTTATTAATTAGTTAACTAAATTGTTAAAATCTATTAATTTTAAATGTTAATTTTTTTGTATCATTGTTGTACATATTGCTAGCAATCAGTACCTTGTTGATTTTTAAAATAATTTGTTAAAATAAGCTTACATATCATATATAATAATTTAAATAAATTTTTTAAAAATAAATAGATCTATACTAAATTTAAATAACAATTATAAATAATAATTAAAATATTAACATTAATGTACTAATTATGATGAAATGTGTTAACTATTGTCGATATAAATTTTATTATGATTTATATAGTTTGACGGTATAGTCGACCGAATAGTTTTCGGCTTTTTTGTTATCAATAAAACATTTTGATTGTCGTATTCGTTGTGATTGTTATCAGATTTACCATTATTTGAAAGTTTTAGCATTTTATCGTTACAACCATTTTGTTGCATCCGATAGAGTGGTAAATCAATTTTATACATTAATTTCAATCGTTCACCGATTTTCAATAATTTATTATTTAAACTCTTTTGACGGGAATAGACAATTAAGTCACCTATAGATAGATAAAAAAATTGTAATTAATTAATTTATAATAAAATAATAATTAATTAATAGTGTAAACACATACACACACACACACATACAAACAAACACATACATACAAACACATACATACAAACACATACATACAAACACATACATACAAACACATACATACATACAAACACATACATATAAACAAACTCATACATACAAACACATACATACAATCACATACATACAAACACATACATACAAATACATACACACAAACACATACATACAAACACATACATACATACAAACACATACATACATACAAACACATACATACAAACAAACTCATACATACAAACACATACATACAATCACATACATACAAACACATACATACAAATACATACATACAAACACATACATACAAACACATACATACATACAAACACATACATACAAACAAACTCATACATACAAACACATACATACAATCACATACATACAAACACATACATACAAATACATACACACAAACACATACATACACTCACACATACACTCACACATACACTCACACATACACTCACACATACACTCACACATACACTCACACATACACTCACACATACACTCACACATACACTCACACATACACTCACACATACACTCACACATACACTCACACATACACTCACACATACACTCACACATACACTCACACATACACTCACACATACACTTACACATACACTCACACATACACACACTTACGAGTATTAGTTTTGATGTCTACCAATAATAGGACACAAAAATCGTTTTTCTTGACCTCAAGAATTCTTAACTCTTGTTGAGTACTGTTATCGTCATTACGGGTCAACATCAGTGACCCGTCATCTTGTTGTCTAACCGTTGATATAGACAACAATTTATTGTCCTGTCTATCAATTTTTATACTATTTATTAATTTTTTTGTTAATTTATAAATTTTTTTATTAAAATATATATTATTATTGAATTATATATTTAAAATTAAATAAAATGCTAATAATATTGTCATACCGTCTCTGAACCTGATATTCTAGATTTTGTTCGCCAAACGGTTTGGTTACGGGTTTTACTTCAATGTTATGGCAAATAGATCTAACAGATCCATAAATTTTATACCAACTATTATTTACCTAAATTATTAATAATAATCAATATATCATTACTATTATTATTTTAAATTATTGTAAAAATTGTTTATATAAATTATTATAATATTCATAAATAAGTCAAAATCAAAATAACACAAATAAATTTTATATATACAGTATATTCCTCTATATTTTAAAAGATTAAACTAAAAAAATTAAAATTTAATAATTTATTTTATTAAAATATATATTATACAAAAAATGTATATATACTGCAAATATATATTCAATTAATTTAATAATTTACTTTTTAAAAAAAAAAATATTCTCTTTATATTTCTATAAATCAGTAATATTAATATTAAAAATGTTAATAATGTATTATAGATTAATTTGTTTGATAAGTTAAAAAAAATTTCTAAATAAATAATTTTAATATATATATATATATAACTTACTGTTGAATCATATAGACTGCTAATACTTTTCAATTGAGGCAAAATCATTATAGAGTTTACAAAATTTTGAGAAAACATTAATATTAACAATAGAAATAATGTTGAAAATAATTTTATTAAACTTAAATATTTACTAATGATTTCCATTTTATTTTAGAAAATAAAATTACTTATAATATTATCATTATTATTATGGTTATAGCAATTAAATATTTTTTTTTAAATTATTACCAATATTTTATTAAATTTAATTATACCAGTACGTCATAAGTAAAACAATTAATACAATTAGGAAATAAAATGATTAATTAAGTAAATATTTCAATTTACGAAAAAAAATTTATTATCCGTTAACTTACGGTTTAAATGTTTGTGTATTTAATAAACTAATAAATAACTATAATTATAATAATAAATAATAATGTTAAGTTTCGAAAATTTTATTTTAAAAAAACTCAAAATGAAAATTTAAAAAAACAATATTATTTTATAAAACATATAATATTTAATAATTTGAATTTGAGTTATTACTTTAATATACTTAAAATATATTTACTTTTTTAAAAGTATGCTATAAATGACTATAAATTTAATAAAATAGTTATATTTTTACTATTACAGTATATATACAGTATATATACAGTATATATACAGTATATATACAGTATATATACAGTATATATACAGTATATATACAGTATATATATATATATATTGGTTAGTGGACATAGGTTTATTCGTTTTTATAGTACTTAAATTGACGTTATTTTTGAACGGGATATTGAAATTATAAAAAATTGATTTGTTTATTGTTGAATACTATAAATGTCTATATTTATAAATGTATGTTTATTTAATTGATAATTAATCTATAAAATTTATTATTGACATTTATATTTGAGATATTATAAAAAAAATTGTTTTCAATTTGTTTTTATTTTATAATAGTTAAGCAGTTAAGCAGTCTTTAAAAATCTGAATTATGTTTAATCTAAAGCCGTATCTTAGAAAAATGTTTTACAATTTTTAAAATTTTTATGAAAGGTTTCTACGAATTGATAAACAAGAAAGTATCAAAAATACAAAAACAATATTTTGACCATTTTAATAAAGATAAATTTAAAAATAAAAAATAATTTAAATGTAAATATTTTAAGGTAATTTTGTGACATTGTTAATTTTGCAATACTAATTCCTACTCTAAAGATAAGTTAAATTACATACTATTCAAACGAAAAAACTTATGTCCACTACCCAATATATATATATATATATATACTGTATATATCTTATACATATCCTCTAAATAGTATTAAAAATTAAAAAATTATAATAATATAATAATGTGAATAAAGTATACATATATTTAAATTATATATATTTTAATGTATAGTAAATAATGTAATTAAATACTAATATCTCTGAGACAATCCATATAATCGATGGCCAACTTTTCACTTTTTTGTTGCCAATTGTTGGCATTTCTACCGCTATTTTGTGGTCTAGTTTTTGATTCAAGACATTGCCATAACTTTATATATATATATTTTTTCAAAAAATATATTAATTCATATAATAATAATTTAATTAAATTTTAATTAATTAATTATCTAAATAATAGCTAAATACATTATTGAAATGTTCAAACGATCGACAAGCATAGGGCCGGCCGTCATGTCTATCGCCAAACACCTGTGCGTAGCACTGGGCTATTGGTTGTGTTATCTAAGAAATAAAAAATATTTTTAAAAAATATTTTTAAAAAAATTGACAAAATAAATGAGATTAATAAAAAAAAATTATTTCAATTAAATTTAATATTTGCTAAATATTAGATATTTATTTGAATTTAAATTTGTTTTATTATTTAAAAAAAAATTATCTTAAAAATATAATATAATGTCATAAATATTGAACTAAATAAATTGTTAGTATTATTATTATCAATATATTAATTACTAATAATTATATGATAAGTCTATAATAATTAGGGTTAGATCAGATTCCCTCCCTCGTCTTATTTTCCATAAGTTCCTTATATTCCCTGTTCCCTGGGAATTCCCTGGGAAGACATTTCCTTGTGGTACCACCTATCGTACCCTAACTCACCTTACATAATGTTTAATTAAAAACACGTTTGTATAGTAAATGTCTACAAAATGTATTTAATGTTTTTACTAAATATTTAATAATATTTGAATCATATTTTGATTGAGTTATTACTAACATACTGGTCCCAATTGAAGCGCATAGTCATTGAGATTAGGTACTTTTTAATGTATGACAAATTATATATTCCCTTTCTAACGATTAAGGGAGGGAATATAATATATTTTCCATATTTTCCGGGAAAATTGGAGGGATTTTATTTGGGAACTTTCCTCCCTGGGAATCTCAATCTAACCCTAATAATAATATAAACAGTATATACTGTACCTCTTTATAGCGATCATCGCACCGACGTATGGCTGACTTACGTTCCGGGGACAGACCTGACACACACAGGTGCTCCCAACCCAATGGACGGGCAATTTTCATAGTACACCACTTATATATATAGATATAGATATATATATATACCACAAAATTTAAACAAATTATTTTAAACAACAAAAAAACTGTTAGATAAGTATAATAGTAAATACCATATGCCGGTGCTCTTTATTAATAATCTGTCTGACAGTATAGGCCCGATTGCGATAGGCCTGGCTCTTACAGTTGTCCAATTGGACGGCCTGTTTGGTCTCATAGTAGTAGCAAATACGCGGCTTATCCGGACTTAGCTGACGGCCAGATATCAAATTGCGTACACAACCGTCAAATATTTGCCGTACCTATAGTTATACAGTAAATATGTAGTTGTTTGAAGTATATGAACCACAAATTGAGATAAAATTAAATTATTAAATTTTTATAATATAAATAATATATCTATACTTCCGGATCCATTAGTTTATCGCAACCTAAAAGTCCATTGTATACCCGATCCGGTGTACTATCGGTGCATAAATTAGGCAATACTTGTGACCAATGAGATGAGCAATCGGCACCGGGAGATATTATTATTAATTTTATTATTATTAAATACAGAGTTAGGTTAGTAATAATAATAATAGTTAAACTATTTTGATTAGTTATTAATTGATTCATTGTATTAAATTAAAATAAAAACATATATATATAATCTGAAATATAATTAAATATTAGAGTTTCTAAAAAAAAATCTTATTATAAAAATTATTTTTTTAGTATTCAATGTAAAACATGTAAAAATATGTTTTAACCTAATTTTCATTATTTTTTTATTGACAATTTCTCTCTCTCTCTCTCTCTCTCTCTCGTCTATTCAATCACATTATCAATAAATTATACAATAAAATAACATCAATAATAATAATATATAGTTTGTTTTGTATAAGTGTCAAATTATAAAGTAAAAAATATATTGTAAATAAAATTTACATTAGTTAAATATAATATTGTATAAATAAATAAACAATAATAATATTATTATTATTAATAATATCTTTTAAATAAATAAAAAAATTACTTCTGGTTCTCTCTCTCTCTCTCTCTCTCTCTCTCTCTTCAAACAATTACAATAAAAACAGTTATTTAAATAATAATATTGTTATTTATTTTATTATATGTTTAGTTTATAATTGATATTATTTCTATTTAAAAAAAAGTAAAGTAGATTATCAAATAATATATTAAAAAAATATTATTATTAAATATTTTATTGATTAATATTCTAAATATTTATTTTATTATAAAATAAATTCAAAAAATGTTTTAATAATTTTTTTTTTTAAAAATATAATTTAATAATATTTTATATTCTATCAAATATTATTTTAATTATAATAGTTTGATTAATTAATTCAACAACAAAAAATTATAATGCTAAATAAATTTTAATTAATCATCTAAATCAATCAATAATTATTAAAATATAATAAAACATTAATTTGATTTTTAAAAAAAATATTTAATTAAAAAAATAAAATAAAATTTATCTTTTTTTTCTTTAATTTTTTAGTCAACTGTTTTGTTTAGTCGTCGACTGATTTGAATCTTTCTGTTTAACCATTGAAACTAAATTATAATTTAGGTCTAAATTTTTCATTATTCTCTGTGTAATAGATAGTAAACTATCAAATTGTTTGTCAGCTTTTGAGTAGACATCGGCAATAACTATATATATATAAAAAATAGATAATAAAAAATTATTTATTTTTTCACAAAATAAAATAAATCAAATTTAAAGAGTGAGTGAAAATGTTAGTAAAATTTTTTTTTTAATAGTAAATTACTTTTTTTTAAAAAAAATAATAATTAATTTAAATGCAAAATATAAAGTAAAGTATATTATACTCAAAATAATTAATAATATTACAAATAATTTATGTTAATTATAATTTGAAAGATAATATTAGTATAATTTTTAATAGTATTTAATTTACTTTAAAAAAAAATAAAATAATTAATTTTATTTCCCCCCTAAAATATATAGTATATTATAATCATAATAATTAATAATTATTAATTATTAATTATAATAATTTATGTTAATTATAATTTTGAATATCTTAATAAAAATTTTTTTTATTAATAATACATAAAATGTTTACTATATTTATTAAATTAAATTTTTTATTTATACTAAACTGGTTTTATCTTTATACTTGGTAAATTTAATGATCAATAAATTGTTTGTTTTCAATATTTCCATCTCTAATTGTCCATAAATTTTATTTCTATCAGTGGTCACCATATATCTTGAATCAATCATATGATCCGTAAAATTTAGATTGAGATAAAATCTTGAAGAAAAATTTAAAATAATATAAATTAATAATAATAATAAATACATTATATATCACACATATAGAGAGTATAAATATTTATTTATTTTTTACTATAATAATAATAACAATTAATAATAATAATAATAATAATAATAATAATAATAATAATAATAATAATAATAATAATAATAATAATAATAATAATAATAATAATAATAATAATAATAACTAATAATAATAATAATAATAATAATAATAACTAATAATAATAACTAATATTAATAATAATAACTAATAATAATAATAACTAATAATAATAATAATAATAATAACATTAATAATAACTGTTTTAATTTTTTCAAAAAAAAAATTATTATCATATATTTAAAAATGATAAATTATTTTTTAAAAATCTATTAAATTATTATTATTATTATTATTATTATTATAAAAACTTACTGTAATTTGGTGTTTACTTGCGATATTTGTGAACCGGAAATAGATATTGTTTCGACAAAATTGTAGCCAATCCGACCCGAATCGGTAATACGATTCAATAGTTGTATTAATTGTTTGAGATTATTCTTTGGACACAAATAATAATAATAATATTTTATTAATTAATAATATTTATTCAAAAAAAACAGATAATAATAATAATAATAAAACTAGAATTTAGTAAAATATTTAATAAAATACTTAATCGATTATATAAAATATTTTTTATTATTATATTTTGTAATTATTTTAATTAAAGTAATGTTTTGTTATTTTATTTTCATTTATAAAGTATTACTAAATATATCGGTACTAAATAAGTGTTAATATACTGTATATATATTTATAATAATTTTTTTAAAAAAATTAAATTATAAATACTCTATTAATATCCAATTTATTTGTTGTTATATTTGACAATTTGTCCGATGATTTACTAATAATAGTCGGTATAGTATTTAACTTTGTTGTAATCATTGTTGTTGTTGTTGTTGGTGGTGGTAGTGGTGATGATGTTGTTGAAGATATTTTAGTTGATTTGGTGGTAGTCTTTGGATTAGTCGCCAATTTTTTCATTATTTCAGTCATATTGTACTTATCCTGAGCTTTGATAATCTATTAATTATAATTAATAAATGTTTTTTATATATTAATTTTAATTTTATCAAATCAACAACAAAACAAAACTACCGGATCTAATGGTAAGTGATTTATTTTTGTTGTCTTTGCTATTGGTATAGTGTTTGCCATTAGTTTACTATTAGCAGCCGGTTTGCTGGTGTGGTTGGTCTTAGATACCGGTGCTTTAGTTGTCTTAATAAAACTGTTACCACCACTGTTACCGGTAATCTTTAAAACAAAACAAAAATTAAATAATTTGTTTTATAGTATTGTATCATATATTTAATCTGTATTTTTTTATATTATAGTTTTTTTATATATAAAAATACAATTACCGTAAATTCCTGATCCACTGGTAGTTGATCTGTCGATTTTGTTGTCGATGTTTCGGTGATGTTGTCGTTATCGTTGTCGGGATCAGTTAGCGATGATTTCAATAAAATGTCGACTCTATCTTTAGCCTTAAGTTTTTTGTTAAGCACCTGCTGTGCGATTGCTGTTGTTGTGGTTGTTGATTGATGTGTCGTTACTATCGGTAATTTGTCTGATAGTTGACCAGTAGTTGGTATTATCGGCGGTTCGGTTATGGGTTTTGTTTCCAGTAGTTTAGTACTATTAGGTATTGTTATTAACGGTTCGGTTTTGGGTTTGATTTCCTGTATTATAGTATTAGGTATTGTTTTTAACGGTTCGGTTTTGGGTTTGATTTCCTGTATTATAGTATTAGGTATTGTTTTTAACGGTTCGGTTTTGGGTTTGATTTCCTGTATTATAGTATTAGGTATTGTTTTTAACGGTTCGGTTATGGGTTTAGTTTCCTGTAGTTTAGTATTAGGTGTTGTTATTAACGGTTCGGTTTTGGGTTTAGTTTCCAGTGGTTTAGTAATAGGTGTTGTTATTAACGGTTCGATTTTGGGTTTGATTTCCTGTATTTTAGTATTAGGTATTGTTATTAACGGTTCGGTTTTGGGTTTGATTTCCTGTATTTTAGTATTAGATATTGTTATTAACGGTTCTGTTATGGGTTTAGTTTCCAGTAATTTAGTATTAGTTGTTGTTATTAACGGTTCGGTTTTGGGTTTGATTTCCTGTAGTTTAGTATTATTAGGGGTTGTTATCGGCGGTTCGGTTTTGATATCAGTTTTTTTCAGTGATTTTGTCTCAATCTCACCGTCACTGTTGTGATCACCAGTGGTTGTGGTGGTTGTGCTGACAAACTAATATTGTTTTTATTAATTGTTAAAGTTATATAAATCTAAATATATATATATTTACTGTATTATACAGTAAGTGCTAATATATAGTATCTATTTTTTAAAGTTATAAATACCCGATTAATATCCAATTTATTTGTTGTTATATTTGGCAATTTGTCCGATGATTTACTAGTAGTCAGTGTTGTCATTGTCTTATTTGTTGTTGTTGATGATGACACTGTTATAATCGGTTTAGTTGAGTTTGGATCAGTTACCAGCTCTACTGTCGTCATCTCAGTCATACTGTCCTCATCTACTACCTGTGTATTAGTCATCTAAAAAAATAAGTTAAATAAAAGTTTTTAATTTTTACAGTATTTATAATATATGATATGATTTATAAAATAAGTTGACAACAAAAAAATAATACCGGATCTACTACTGGTGATTGACTTGTTGTTGTTGTTGGGGTCTCTATTGATGGTATAGTGTCTGCCAATTGTTCATAATTAGCTGTTATTGTTGATAATAATGATGATGAATGTGTAGTCATATAGGTATTGTTAACCTCATATTCTGTTAGCTGATGGGTCGGGATATTAGATAAAACCGGTGGTTCACTGCTGGTGTTGTCGGTATTAATAGCTTCCGGTGCTTTAGTTTCAATCAAACTGTCACCAACACTGTGATCGGTAGTCTTTAAAAATATTAAATAATTTGTATAATTTTTCTATATTTTTTATATATACCGTATACTGATGTATAAACTGATGAAATACCTGATCAACTGTTGGTGACTGGAGTGTCGTTACATTTGACAAAACATCTACCGTTTCTTCACCACCATTGGTGGTCATCGATACGCTAATTATGGGATCAGTTTCTTTCAGTAATTTTATATCAATTTCACTGTCACTGTTGTGATCACCAGTGGTGTTGATGGTAGTGGAGGTAGTGGTGTTGTTGGTGACGATAATCTAACAATATTTATAGTTATTTTTTTTTGGGGGGGGGGGAGGGATAAAAATAAAATTATCAACTTTTTTAAACTACTAAACATTAATACCTCATCTACTAGTGACTGGTGTGTCGTTTGATTTGACAAAACTTCTACCGTTTCTTCACCACCAATGGTCGTTGTTTCGCTAAATTTCGGATCAGTTTCTTTCAGTAATTTTATATCAATTTCACTGTCATTGTTGTGATCATCAGTGATAGTAGTAATGGTTGTTGTGCTAACAGTCTAATAAAAATATTATGATTTTTGTTTTGTTAATTTATTATTTAAAATAGTTTTAAAATATATAATTAAATGTTAGAAAATTTTGATTATGTTATACAATAATAAATTTAAAAAATGCTTAATTTATTATAAATTTTTTTTGTATATATATATTATACTATACTTAAAAATTATATTTGTTGTTGTTTTTTTTCATTATTAAAATTGATTTAAATATACTGTACTATATAAATGTTAACATAATTATACATATATTTAAAAAATTAATAAATACCCGATTAATATCCAATTTATTTGTTGTTATATTTGACAATTTGTCCGATGATTTACTAGCAGTCAGTGTTGTCTTTGTTGTTGTTGTTGACAATATTGTAGTCGGTTTAATGGTTGGATCAGTTACCAGACCAATTGTTAGGTCAGTCATACTGTCCTCATCTACAACAGGTGATGCTATAGTGATCTAAAAAAAGTTTTAAAAAAGTGTTTTTATTTTTATTGGGTATTAGTAATGATACAGTATATCATAATATATGATATTAATTATTATTATTATTATTTTAGTAAATTAGTTGACAACAACAACAACAAAAATACCGGATCTATTACTGGTGACTGATGTGTTGTAGCCATTATTATTGGTATAGTATCTGCCAATTGTTTATAATTAGTTGTTGTTATCGATGATAATGAAGTCATATCGGTGTTGTTGACCTCGTTATCTGTTAAGTGATGGTCGGGTATATTAGTTGTAACTGTTAACAGACTATTAACAGCCGGCAGTTCACTGCTGTGGTCGGGATTCGGTGTTTCGGTAATCCTATCAGTAGTTTCTGATAGTTCATCACTAGTTGTTGGCGTTATAGTTATCGGCGGTTCGGTTTTGGGATCAGTTTCTTCTTTCAGTGATTTTGTCTCAATCTCACCGTCACTGTTGTGATAACCAGTGGTAGTGGTGGTTGTGGTGGTTGTGCTCACAATCTAATAAAAATATATATTACTTTTAATATTAAAATTATATCTAAAAATTATATACATATATAATAAATATAAAATATAATTAAGTTAGAAAATTCATTATAATTTTTTTTGTGTGTGTATATCTTGTAGTGATATTTATTTATTTTATTTTATTTCATTGTTAAAGTAGATCTAAATATACTGTACTATAAGTGCTAATATATATATATTATTTAAAAATTAATAAATACCCGATTAATATCCAATTTATTTGTTGTTATATTTGGCAATTTGTCCGATAATTTACTAGTAGTCAGTGTTGTCTTTGACTTATTTGTTGTGGTTGTTGTTGATGATGATGATGACAATGTTGTAGTCGGTTTAGTTGAGTTTGGATCAGTTATCAGCTCTACTATTGTCGTCGTCTCAGTTATACTGTCCTTATCGTTGTTGTTGTTGGGATCAGTTTCCGATGCTTTCAATAAAATCATATCTTTATCGTTGTTATCTACAACATGTGAGGCCTGTGTGATCTAATTGGATAATTAATAGTATTATAATTTTTATTAAAATTAGTTGACAAAACAACAACAACAAAAAATACCGGATCTACTACTGGTGACTGATGTGTTGTAGTCTTTATTAGTGGTATAGAGTTTGCCGCCAATTGTTTATAATTAGTCGTTGTTGTTGTTGTTGATGATGACGATGATGATGAAGTCATATCGGTATTGTTGACCTTATTAGCCATTAAGTGATGGTTCGGTAAATTAGATGAAACTTTTACAGACAGACTATTAACAGCCGGCAGTTGACTGCTGGTGATGTTGTCGTCGCCATCAGCTTCCGGTGCTTTAGTTGATTCAATCAAACTGTCACCGACATTGTTATCGGTAGTCTTCAAAAAAAAAAATATTAAAATAATTTTATTTTATATGTTAATACTATATATATATTTAATCTATCTTTTTATATAAACTGATAAAATACCTGATCTACTGGTGTCTGGTGTCGTGTCGTTAGATTTGCCAAAATATCTACCGTTTCTTCACTACCAATAGTCGTCATTGTTTCGCTGGTTTTCGGATCAGTTTCTTTCAGTAATTTTATATCAATTTCACTGTCACTGTTGTGATCATCAGTGGTGGTAGTGGTGGTRSTGGTGGTRGCGGCAATCTAACAATATAGTTATTTTTTTTGGGGGGGGGGGGTAGAGGAGGGGAGTTAAAAGTTTTTTAAAAGCTGATAAACATTATTATGGTATTTAATTTTGTAAAATACCTTATAAAGTATTGATTGCTGTTTTGTTGTTATTTTTGGTTTTATCGTTAATATGTCCAACACTTTATTATCATTATAATGTTGTCGTCGACCAGTTGTGGTAGTGGTGATGGTGTTGGTAGAGGAGGTAGTGGTGGTAATGGTGGGTCTCTAATAACAAAAAAAAATATAACATTTTTTTGCTGTTAACTTATTGTATCAATTAATTTACAGGTATTCATATTTTTTTAAAAATTACTTTATAAAGTACTGTTTGATGTGGTGTTGTCGTGTCCAACAATTTGTTAGTATTATTAGTTGTCATCATTATTATCGATGGTTTAGTATTGTTGTTGTTGTTGATGTTGGGATCAATTTCTGGTGTGAAGTTTGTCTGTATAATCTTATTATTATTATTATTATCATCTCTATTGTTGTTGTTGTGATCGCTGGTAGTCTAATAATAATATTCAAATTAATTTAATTTTCATATAAATTAATATTTAATTAAATATATACTCTCTCTCTCTCTCTCTCTCTCTCTCTCTATATATATATATATATATATATATATATATATATATATATATATATAATTAAATATTAATGAAATACCTGATCCACTGATGTTGTTGTTGTTTGGCTATCTGTTGTTATGGTTGTCTCAGATCTTACATGTTCTTCATTAGTTGTTGTTTGGGTTTTTGGATCAGTTGGTGACGATTCTTCAATTATATCTGTTGCTGTTGATGATGATGATGATGATGAAGTCATATCGGCGTTGACATCATTATCAGTTAAGTGAGCCGTCGGTAAATTAGATGATGAAGACTCTGTTGCCATACTATTAACAGCCGATTCACTGCTTGCAAACGGATCAGCCGTTTCCGTCTCTTTAGTCTCATTGTCCGATTCGGTAGTCTTCAACAAAAAAAAATAATAAATTGTTTGTTTGTAAATATGTTTTTAAATAATGTATTTTTTAAAATCAGTTTATATATATATATAAAAACTGATGAAATACCTGATCTACTGGTGTCTGGTGTGTCGTTAAATTTGCCAAAATATCTACCATTTCTTCACCACCAATAGTCGTCATCGTTTCGCTGGTTTTGGGATCAGTTTCTTTCAGTAATTTTATATCAATTTCACTGTCACTGATGTGATCATCAGTGGCGGTGATAGTGGTAGTAGTTGTGGTGGTTGTGCCGACAATCTAATAAAAATAGTACTTTAATATTAAAATTATAATAAAAAATAAAAAATATATAATAAAGTTAGAAAATGTTTAATTAATTATATATTTATTTTTTTTGTATGTATTACAGTACTTAAAGTGATATTTTTTTTTTGTTAAAGTTAATCTAAATATATTATACTATAACTTATAAATTTATATATAGTATAGTATTATTTAAAAAATTAATAAATACCCGATTAATATCCAATTTATTTGTTGTTATATTTGACAATTTGTCCGATGATTTACTAGTAGTCAGTGTTGTCTTTGACTTATTTGTTGTTATCTTTGTTGTTGTTGTTGATGATGATGATGATGACAATGTTGTAGTCTGTTTAGTGGTTAGATCAGTCACCAGATTTACTGTAGTCTCAGTCATACTGTCCTCGTCTACAACAGGTGAGGCCTTAGTGATGATCTAATAAGTTAAATATAGTATTCATATATAATATTATACTCTAATATATATATATATATATATATATTGATAAAATACCTGATCTATTGGTGTCTGGCGTCGTGTCGTCCCATTTGCCAAAACATCTACCGTTTCTTCACCACCAATAGTCGTCATTGTTTCGCTGGTTTTGGGATCAGTTTCTTTCAGTAATTTTATATCACTTTCACTGTCACTGTTGTGATCATCAGTGGTAGTGGTTGTGGTGGTTGTGCTGACAATCTAATCAACAACAAAATAATAATTACATTTTTTTGTTGTTAATTTTATATTAAATAATTGTATTATTAAAATATAATTGTAAGTTAGAAAATAATATTATGTTATATTATAATAAATAAGAAAATGCTTAATTCATTATAAAATTTTGTGTGTATTTTTTCGTATGTATGTATGTATGTGTGTGTGTGTGTGTGTGTGTGTATCTTATACTATACTTAAAAGTGATATTTATTTTTTTTTTGTTTTTTTTATTCATTGTTAAAGTTTATCTAAATTTACTGTAGATTATAAATACCTGATTAATATTCAATTTAGTTGTAGTTATTGTCTTATTTTTATCACCAATACTACCACTACTACTACTACTACTGTGATAATGGGTGTATAAATTAGATGAATCCTCTGTTGTCTGACTATTAGCTGCCACTGGTTTGCTGCTAATAGTGGTTGTGATGGTTGTGCTGCCGGGATATATAGCTTTAGACTTAATCAAACCGTTACCAACACTGTTATAGGTAGTCTAAAAATATTTATTAATATATATTTATTATAAGTTTTTTTGTTGTTGTATTGTACATAAAAATACAATTACCGTCAATACCTGATCCACTGGTAGTTGATCTGTCGGTTTTGTTGTCGATGTTTCGGTAATGTTGTTGATATCAGTTTCCGATACTTTCAATAGGATGTCATCTTTATCGTTGTTATCAATTATCTAATAGATATATAAATAGTAAATTAATAAATATGATTTCAATTGTTCAATTTTAACTATTAATAAAAAAAATATATATTTTAATTTAATAAAAAAATTAATTTTTTTTGTTAAGCACCTGATCTACGGTTGTTGTTTTATGTGATGTTGTCATTACTATCGGTAAATTGTCTGACAGTTCATCATTAGATGGTGTTATCGACGGTTCGGTTGTTATATCAGTTTCTGATAGTTCATCAGTGGTTGGTGTTATCGGCGGTTCGGGTTTGGGATCAGTTGTCTGAAGCTTATTGTTAGATGTTGTTGTTGTTGTTGTTGTTGTTGACGACTGGGTTTTGAAATTAGTTTTTTGCAGTTTATCATTAGGTGTTGTTATCGACGGTTCGGTTTTGAATTTAGTATTTAGCAGTTTATCACTAGTTGTGGTTATCGGCGGTTCGGTTTTGATATCAGTTTCATTCAGTGATTTTGTGTGAATCTCATCGTCATTGTTGTCATCATCAGTGGTGGTGGTTGTGGTTGTGGTGGTTGTACTGACAATCTAATAAAAAAAAATTATTTTAATATTAAAATTATATCTTAAAATTATATATTAACAAAAATAATAAATATAAAAATATAATTAATTTAGGAAATGCTTAATTAATTATAAACCAGTTGAGAATGCTAGAAAGCATTTCCACACGAATTCCTAATCATAATTAAAAATTAAATTCAGTATGATAAAATAAACTCAACTATAGTTATGTAGGGTATCAAACGATTTAGTATGACAAAATAAACAACTATAGTCATGTGGGGTATCAAATGATTCAGTATTACAAAATAAACTACTATTTTCCTAAAAAATAAACTTATAAACGAAAAAAATAAAAAATCAATATTCAAAAAAATTCAAAAAAAAATTCAAAAAAAAAATCAAAATTTTTTTAATTAATTTTTGGACACCATTTTCTTCAATTTCCTAAAAAATAAACTTAAATAAGAAAAAAAACAAAAAAAAATCAAAAAAAAATTTTTAAAAAAATTCAAAAAAAAATTTTAAATTTTTTTTTATTAATTATTGGACACCATTTTGTTTTTTTTTGTTTAAAAATATACTTAAAAATAAAAAAAAATAAAAAAAAACAAAAAAAAGCGTAGCTGAGCCTGGATTCGAACCTATGTCCTCGTGGGACAGACAGATCGACAGACAGACCGACTTATAGATTTCATATACGTATTCCTTTCAGGAATTCGTGAATATTTATTTAATTTTGTATATCTTGTACTGTACTTAAAGTGATATTTGTTTGTTTTTTTTATTGTTAAAGTAGATATAAATATATACTTTACTATAAGTTTTAATATATACCGGTATATATATTTAATAAATAATAAATACCCGATTAATATCCAATTTATTTGTCGTTATATTTGGCAATTTGTCCGATGATTTACTATTAGATAGTGTTGTCTTTGTCTTATCTGTTGTTATCTTTGTTGTTGTTGATGATGACAATGTTGTAGTCGGTTTAGTTGAGTTTGGATCAGTTGCCAAATCTACTGTCGTTTCAGTCATATTGTCGTTGTTGGGATCAGTTTCCGTTGCTTTCAATAAAATCACATCTTTATCGTTGTCATCTATTATCTAATAGATATAAATAGATATTAATAGATATTATTTTAATTTAATAATAAAATAAAAGTTTTTTGTTTGTTTGTTAAGTACCTGATCTACGATTGTTGTTGTTGTTGTTTGATGTGATGTTGTCGTTACTATCGGTAAATTGTCTGACAATTCATCATTAGATGGTGTTATCGACGGTTCGGTTGTTATATCAGTTTCTAACAGTTCATCAGTTGATGGTGTTATCGGCGGTTCGGGTTTGGTATCAGTTTTCTGGAGTTTATCGTTAGGTGTTGTTGTAGTTATCGACGGTTCGGTTATGGGTTTAGTTTCCTGTAGTTTAGTATTAGGTGTTGTTATCGGCGGTTTGGTTTTAGGTCTAGTTTTTGACAGTTTATCACTAGTTGTTGTTGTTGTTATTGGCGGTTCGGTTTTGCTGTCAGTTTCTTTCAATGATTTTGTCTGAATCTCATCGTCATTGTTATCATCATCCGTGCTGGTAGTTGTGGTGGTTGTGCTGACAAACTAATAAATATATATTATTTTAGTATTAAAATTATATCTAAAAATTATATATACATATATATATATATATATATAAATACTAAATATAAAAAATAATTAAGTTAGAAAATGCTTAATTAATAATAAAATATTTTTTGTATATCTTATACTGTACTTAAAGTGATATTTTTTTGTTTTTTTTAATGTTAAAGTAGATATAAATATACTGTACTATAAGTTTTAATATATACCGGTATATATAAATATTTTTTAAAATAATAAATACCTGATTAATATCCAATTTATTTGTTGTTATATTTGGCAATTTGTCCGATGATTTACTAGTAGTCAGTGTTGTCTTTGTCTTATTTATTGTTGTCGTTGTTGTTATTGATGACACTGTTGTAGTCGGTTTAGTGGTGTTTGGATCAGTTACCAGCCCTACTGTCGTCGTCTCAGTCATACTGTCCTTATCGTTGTCTTTGTTGGGATCAGTTTCCGATGTTTTCAATAATATCACATCTTTATCGTCGTTATCTAATATCTAAAATATATATATATATATATATATATATTAATAAAAATTAATTAATTATTAATAAATATTATTTCAATTGTTTATTGAATATTATAATATATATTTTTTTAATTTAATAAAAAATTAAAGTTTTTTTTGTTAAGCACCTGATCTACGATTGTTGTTGTTGTTTGATGTGATGCTGTCGTTACTATCGGTAAATTGTCTGACAGTTCATCATTAGATGGTGTTATCGCCGGTTCGGTTGTTATATCAGTTTCCGACAGTTCATCATTAGTTGGTGTTGTTGTTGTTATCGACGGTTCGGTTTCGGGTTCAGTAGTTTCCAGCTGTTCATCACTGGCCAGAGTTATCGGCGATTCGGTTTCGTTATCAGTTTCCGACACTATTTCATCATTAGTTGTCATTTTTATCGGCAGTTTTGTTATGGGATTCATTTTGGTCACAATTTTTTTCTCTAACTTATCGTTGTTGTTGTTGTCGTCTGTAATATCACTACTTGTAGTCTAATAAATAAGTTTTTTTATTTAATAATAAAAACTTATATTAGTTATAATATTTCTAATATAATAATAATAATAATAATAATATTTAAACAATGAAATACCTGATCCTCTGGTGTCTGATGTGTTGGTTCATCAATAGTTATTGTCATATCGGTGTTGACCACAATTTTTTTCGGTAAATGATAGATCAGTAGATTGTCTTTGTCGTCGTCATCATCACTGTCATCGTTAGTCTAAATAATTTATTTGAATTTGTATTTTTGATGGTTATAATTGAAATTTAAGATTTTACTTTTTTTATTTTTTAAGATTATTAATACTTAATCATTATGTGAATGTCTATATTAGGGTTGCAAAAGGGGTGGGGGTAGGGGGGTAAGGCCATTTTACCCCCCTCATGAGATCGAGATTTTTAGGTTTAACCCCCTATCCCCGGCCTAAAGTGAATAGGTTGGGGGGGGGGGGGGCTTTGGCGCCGAATTTTTTTTTTATTAATGTAAAGTTTAATATTAAACAAAAATATAAATACTAATTGAGTTTTACTATAAATAAATACCTTATCTTTACAAAATAAATTTTTCTTTATTATGAAATTTATGTGAGAATTTATGTGAGAATTTATTGGGAATATTAAGGGAATTTATAGGGAATTTATAGGGAATTTATAGGGAATTTATAGGGAATTTATAGGGAATTTATAGGGAATTTATAGGGAATTTATAGGGAATTTATAGGGAATTTATAGGGAATTTATAGGGAATTTACTAGATATTTATTGGGAATTTATTGTGAATTTACTGGTAATTTATTGGTAATTTATAGGGAATTTACTGGTAATTTACTGGTAATTTACTGGTAATTTACTGGTAATTTACTGGTAATTTATTGGGAATTATTATGACCCTGGTCTATGTGTATGTAATCACTAACTAATTATAAAAAAACAAATCGAAAAATACCTGATTTTGAATTTTTGTTTGATCTGTTGTTTTGTGTATTTTCTTATTAGAATTGGTTGTCATAATCGATGTAATTGTCGTCAAATCGGTGTTGGCATCAGTTTTCATCACTAGTATCTCACTGTCATTGTTGTTGTTGTTGTTATGATTACTACTGATGTTAGCGTCGATGGGCTGTAGTTTGAAAATAGTGTCCAACCTTTGCTCAGTTCGCTTAACAATCGACTGTAATGTTTCGTCAGGTTTGGTATCATTACTGGTTTGGTAGACATCGACTAAAGCTATATAATAGTGAGAGAGAGAGAGAGAGAGAGAGAGAGAGAGAGCAATAAATTATTTATATAATATATATATATATATATAATATATATGTATACTAACTATCATTATTGCTTAGATTAACATATTTAATGATCACATGACCAGTTGGTTCGTATCTAAAAAATTTGATCTCAATTTTCTCAGTTAAACCGTTATTATTATTATTATTAATATCTCTGGTAACCAAATATCGTGGATCAACTGATTTCAATGTCGATTCTGGCGTAAATGTTAAGCCCATTACTAATCTAAAAATTAATTATTATTTTTTGTATTATTAGTTTTTTTTAGAAAATAAAAATTATTATCAAACAAAAAATCTCTTATTCAATATACATGTATTTGGAGAGTAAAAACATAATTTCAATAACAAAAAAATTAGTTATATAAATTTTTATATTAATAATATATAAATATTTTTTAGATTTATATAACTTTACACATTATTTATAATTTATATAGTTTATATTTACTGTATTTTATCTGTAAAATCCTGCAATTGTGTACCGGTTATGTTGACTGTATCCAAATAATTATAGCCAATATCATTACTATTGAATTTAAATACCCGATCCAAAAATTTAGTCAACTATCAACAAAATAAATAATTAAAATGTTATTAATTTTTTTTATATACTCTATATATAAAAATTGTTTATCTAATATAATTACTTATTATTATGGTTAATATATTTTTATTTAAAATTTATTTTAACTAAACCATATTTAAAAGTATTATTATTATTATTCAATAAAATTAAAAATACCTCATCTACTGGTGTTTGATTAGCCGGTTCACTGTTGGTATCAGTTACCGATGGTTTTGTATGAATATTATATTTATTATTATTATTATGATTATTACTAAATGATTGATTTAATCGATAAATTTCGTCTATTTTATCTAATGTCCGGTTGACTATAGATATTAGACTAATATTTTGTTTGTCATTTTTAGTATACACATCGATAATGGCTACGATAATTCAAATGGTGGACAGTTAGTATATATTTAGTTTATATTAGAGATGATAGATAGATAGATAGAGATTAGTATTATTTAATTATAAATAAATATGTATATAAAATTATTAAAAAATTAGTAAATTAATTACATTTTTTTAAAAGTAAATTAAATACATATTTTAATTTAGAAAATACTAACTATTATTTGTATTTTCGTTTATAAATTTAATTAAAACATTGGATTCGTATTTTAAAATTTCCAAACTTGTATTAATCACTTTAATAGATGTCTTGGCACTTATTATTACATTATCAACATTTCTATATAAAATATTTAAAAAAAAAACAAAATTATTTTTTAAATACTTAACAACAGTTTGCTTTTATTAAATAAAAATTTCAGGAAAAAAAATAATATTATAAATTAAAATTATATTTAACTCAATAATCTCTTTTAAATCTGATGCTAATGTATTGTCCGTATCATTGTTGGTAATGTTTACGGTTTTATCAAATCTATAGCCCACCCAATCCGATCCGAAAACACGATATAAAACATTTGACAATTGTTTCAAATCATACTATAATAATATTGTATGACATAATAATAATAATAATAATTCAATAATTAATAAATAATATATATATATATATGAAATACCTGATCAACATCTAATGAGTTAATGGTCATAGTTTTTGGTAAAACATTTTTAGGCGATTCAATAGTTTTAGTAGTAGTAGTGTTGTTGGGGACAGTTGTCTGTAAATTGTTATGTTTGCCATCATCAACGGATTGGACCGACAATTTAAGGCAAAAATTATCAATACTACTACCAGTGTTACCAAAGTTAACAAATTTTTTGATTAGACTGTTATCTTTGAGCCGTTTATATCGGGAATAGATACCGATTTTAGCTAATATGTCAATAAAATAATATACAATATTATATATGTATGTATTTTATATCAATATAATTAAAGTATATATATATATACATTGTTTATATATATATATATATACATGTATATATTGTTTATCTAAATTATTTAATAAATATTATAACAAAAAAATAACTTATTTAAAAATAAAAATAAAATTACCTTGATTGTTGGTCAGATCGACACTGTAAAATACAATATAATTGATTAAATCTGTGGCCAATATGTTATATGTTAGTTGAGCACCGGTATCATAACGGGTCAGTAATATTGTGCCATCCATTTGGACAGTTGCATAGGAATTAAGTAGCAATTTTTCATTGTATCTAAATTTGTATATAATTAAAAAACAAATTTATATATATAGGCTATATATTAATTATTTATTAGTAAATTATTTTTAAGTAAAATATTTGTATATATATAAAATATAAAAATATATTATTATTTCCAGGTTTTAAATATATATTGATAAATACCGTTCAATAAACTCGTATTTTTGGCTAATATTATTAAAATTAATATTAATTGTCGATTGTTTAGCACTTTTATCCGATCCATAAAGTTTATACCATAAACCCAAAAACTATATTTATTTATATATATATATAAAATAAAATGTTTATTAATATACAAATTAAAAACATTATTATTTTTATTATTTTTTTTAAAAAAAATATTTAGTTTAAAACAAATGTATTTTAAATACTTAACTGGACTCAAATTAATTATTGTTGTTGTTGTGGCACTGGTAGTATTAAGCACCGGTAGTATATTTCTAATATTGTTTTTGGTGTCTATTATATCGCAATTAACAAAAATAATTGCTAAACTTAATACTGTTATTTTAAACATATTTTTTTTAAATTATAATAAACACCTGCTAATTGCAGTTTGTATTATTAATTTTATATAAATTAATTCATTTATTATTATTATTATTATTATTTAACTATTGTATTAAAACTACTTAATTTATTTTTTCGATTTAAATAGTTATAAAAATAAATAAACAAAACAAAAATTAATTTTATATATTAAATATTTTTGCTAACAAATATGGTTACTATTATTTATCAAAATTTAATATACAATATATATATATATGAATTAATTAAAATCATATGTTAAAATCATTGCATCCATTTTACTATAAAATATATTTTGAAATCTTTATTAATTTAAAAAAAACAAAAAATTATTACACAAAAAATAATATATTATATTTATTTAAAATTGATTGTTAGTTAAAAATTATATATAAAAATAATAATCAATAATTTTTCTATTGATAAATTTAATAAAAATAATTACTAATAATTATAAATATATAAAAATTAATAAAATATATTTGTGGCTAAATACAGTACACGAAATGGACAGTAGTGTTAGATATGGTCCCAGTGCTACACGCATACTGTCCAATGCCATACACGGAGTCATAGGGATCGGGTGTAGTGTACGTAAATTTATTAATATTATTATCATGATCATTTTGTTAAAATCATAAATCACATATTACAATAGATCTCAATTTTTCGTACATGGGTGATTTTATATTTTTATAATTTTATAATAATATATATATTTTAAATTATAGATAATTTTTTAGAATTTTATTTATTATTATTTTAGATAATATTTTATGTGTTAATAAAAGTATAGTTTTTTTGCTTAATAGATAAATAAATGTTTTATACATCTATCTATTATATATGAAAAATATTTTATATATTATTGTTTTATATTGATAATATTTTGTATTATTATTTGTTATCATGTATTATTATTTTATATATATTGTAAAATTTATTAAATAAAAAGATTATTACAGTATCTAAAATCAATATCATAGCAATTATTTTAAAATTTTCATATAATAAACATAAAAATATTAATTATATTAATAGTTTTTTTAATTGTACAAAAATATATATCTATTTTTATTTTATTAGGAAATATCTATAATCTTAAACTTTTAAATCTATATATAATAATTATAGCCATAAATTTACGCAATAATAATAGTAATAATAAATATTTATTTGTTATTCAAATTATTTATTTTTTTATAAATTCATATCTCTATTTAATATTTAATTATAATTAGTAATTGTATTTTAAAATATTAATTATTTAAATACATTTAAAGAACAAACATAATTATCAATTAAAATATATAAACAAAACTATTTTATTTTATTATGTTTTGTTTTTATAATAATTACTAAAAAATATTAAAAAATATATTATTTCACTAATATATATAACTAAATAAATATAATACTAATTTTCATGTCATATCATTATATTATTAAATTAAATAAATAAATAATTTATTTATTATGTACAGTACATTAAGTTTCTAATATATAGCATGATATAGTAAAATAAAGTTTATTTTACAATATTATATTAGCTTAATTTTGTTGTAAAAATATTAAAGTTTTGCAAGGTTATTTAATTTATTAAAGCTATTTTATCTACGTAATAATAATAATAATATTATTATTATTACAGTATTAATATTAATAATACTCAACAATAGTATTTATTATCTTTATAAAAATTTTATTTATTGATAACAATTAAATTAAATATAATAATTATACTATTATAAAAAAAATATTTACTGATTAATGAAAAAGTATTTTAATTTTTTTTTAATATTATTTTAGTACATATTTTTTGTTTTGTTTTATTTAATAATGTTTTACACGATTTACTATTTAATATTGTAATAATAATAATAAAAGTAATAATAATAAATACACAACATATAAATCACACATAAAAATTGATATATAATTATTGCTGAAATGTGTTGTGTTATCTATTGATTAAAATTAGAAATAAATATTATTATTATTATTATTATTTATTCAGTTGTTAATAATTTATTTTTATTTATTTTATTTTTATTTTTCTTTAAAAAAATGTCATTAAATATATCTAAAAAAATTTTAATCAAATTAATTGTCGATATATTTTCGCTACTATTTGTCGGACTATTTGTACTGTTTCTCTATCTATTTGCCAAACCCTACAAACGCGGCTACTTTTGCAATGACCTAACCATACGATACCCCTATAGGGACAGTACAATCAATAGTTATTCGTTGGCCGCACTGGTATTATTGCCCATAATTGTTGCCGTGGCCAGTGTCGAGACCTACCGATACAAAAATGTAATTATTATTAATTTTATTTTCAATGAAATCAAAAAATATTTATTATATACTGGTCTATACTTTTTTTATATATATAATCAGAGTCAGTATACTAGCAAACTGGACAAAACATTGTTAAGGGAATTGTACGACAAATACATACCGTTCCTGTTCGGCGCACTCATGTCCATACTGTGCACATACATAGCTAAAGTATCGGTGGGTCGGCTCCGACCCTATTTTTACGGTGTTTGTCAGCCGAATGTTGTATGCGATACAATAAATGTCTATCAATATATTGAAGATTTTGAATGTACCGGCACTGATGGGGCGCCTACCGAAGCCGTCACAGAGATGCGTATGAGCTATATGTCAGGTAATATCAGAGAATCTCTCTCTCTCTCTCTCTCTCTCTCTCTCTCTCTCTCTCTCTCTMTCTATCTATCTATCTATCTATCTATCTATCTATCTATCTATCTATCTATCTATCTATCTATCTCTCCGTTAACACACACACACACACACACAAACATACATACATACACACACATACATACACACACATACATACACACACATACATACACACACATACATACACACACATACATACACACACATACATACACACACATACATACACACACATACATACACACACATACATACACACACATACATACACACACATACATACACACATACATACACACACATACATACACACACATACATACACACACATACATACACACACATACATACACACCATACAAACACAAACACACACACTTAAACAAATATATACAAACATATACATACAAACATACACATACAAACACACATACAAACACACATACTAACACACATACAAACACACATACTAACATACATATGAATATGTATTAACTAACCCACATATTATTATTATTATTATTATTATGATCACAATTTAGGCCATTCCTCGACAATGGCCTTCTCAATGGTATATCTGGTCATATATCTACACAAACGGTTTCCCGTTCGTAATTCACAACAGCATACGGCACTGATCCGGGCCCTCGTACAGGGTCTGGCATTGAATTTGGCCATTTATGTCGGCTATACCCGCATATCCGACTATTGGCATCACTGGAGCGACGTTATGATCGGGCTAATACAGGGCGCACTGTCAGCCACACTGACCGCCTACTATCTGAGCGATTTGTGTACCGATGATGATGTGGACGGCCTACCCGTCGGTCTAGTTTTAAGCGATAATAATAATACTAATAATAGTCGTATGAATACCAGTGGACCATCTAATGAGTATAATCTGGAAAGTGGTAGACTATCTATCGGACCTAATAATAGTAGTAATAATAATAATAATTTTCATATAAGATTAGTAAATCATACAAGTATTTAATAATATTTTTAATTAAAAACTAAGTTTTTTATTTATTTAAAACATTTGCCAAAAGTTTTTAAGGGCATCAGCTTTTGTTTATATTAATTAATTGCAAAATTTATTATATTTTTTTTTAAAAATAAAATTTATTTAAATTGACATATTTATTGAACAAATATATAGTATATTTTTTTGAAGTTATTTATTATAATAAATTGTTAATTAATTTTTTATTTTTTCATTTTGTTTGTATTACTAAAAAAATTTTGTTTCTAAAATTTAAAACATAACTTATAGTATAAAAGCATTTAATTACTTAATAATGTTTAAATATTTAAATTATTTAATATCAAACATTTTTTTATTAATAGTTGTTATATTTTTTTGTAGAAACTATTATTTATTTATATTAAAAAAATTAATATTAGACTAATTGTAATATATTGTATATATTAATAATAATAATAATAACAGTAATAATAGACAAGTCATATGAATTTTTTTAGTATTTTTTTTTAGATTATATAATACAAGTAAATAATAATAAATATAATTGTTTTTTTATTAAATGGTGTCAAATATTTCATATATTAAACAATATTATTTAATAAATAAAATATCCAAGCAATATCATAAAAAAATTATTTATTAAATTTTTTTAAAGGATATAATACAATAAAAATTATTTGGGTTTTATAAATACTAAAATAGATAATAAGTAATTTTTGTTTTATTAGCTAAATTAATTAGCTATTATATATTAAATAAATATGTGTAAATATATAATAACAATAAATTTTATAAATATAAGGATAAAAATCATGTAAAATATTTTTGTTATTTTATTTTTAGTTACTAAAATAAAAGTTGTGAAACATTTAAATAAGTTTAAAAAGTTATTTTCCAGTTAATATAATTTATTTTTAAATAAAAAATTATTAATATTTAAATAAATTTTTAAAAACAATTCAACTACTAATTAATTTAAGGTAAGAAAACTTATTATTATTATTATATTATTATAAGTATTTATTATTTTATTTAATTATCTAAATTTTCTTATAATTATTATATTAGAAGAATCTTTTTTAATTATATTATGCTATTTATTAAAAAAATAAAAATAATATAATTTTTTTAAAAACTATTAGAACAATAATATTCTATATAAATATAATAATATAAATTATAATTTGTATATAAATTAAAATTATAATTTGTATACAAAATACACACAATATTTTTTGTTTAATTATTTTATATTAAATTTTTTTTTTTGATTATCGAGAGACTATTTTTTGTGTTGTTTATGTTTTGTCGACTTTTTTGTTGTTGATGTTGTTGTAACACTATTATCATCATCATTATCGCCATCATCATCGATAACATCCCTGAGCTGTGTTACTAGACTAGCAAACCAATTGTCTATACAGGGTTCCAGTTGCCTGAAAACTGGTCGTATAAACTTAAAATATAGTAGTTGTGAACCGTTTTGAGGTATAGGTGCCAAACACCAGCCAAGGAATGCCAGTTTTGCCAACCAATAGAACGGTATAATTCGGAATAAATATAATGAAAAAAAGTCGGCCACCGATAACAATGCAAATACTACCCAATATCTTAAAAAAAAATAAATTTAAAAATAATTAATATATTAGTTATAAGTTATAGTTATAGACATTAGTTATAAACAATAGTTATAAACAATTGTTATAAGTTATAGTTATAGACATTAGTTATAAACAATTGTTATAAGTTATAGTTATAGACATTAGTTATAAACAATAGTTATAAGTTATAGTTATAAACGTTAGTTATAAACATAAGTTATAAACAATAGTTATAAACAATAGTTATAAGTTATTAGCTATATATACATAGTATAAATGGTATCTTTTTAATCGGTAATTGTAATAATAATTAAACTGCTATAATAATTTTTTAGAAATATTTAGATAATTAAAAAAAATTATGTATTAATTTTATCTGAATTATTATATGTGTTGAATGTGTTTAACATATAATTTTTTTTTGAGTACATATAAAATATTTCAAGTATTTTTCTACATGTTAATAATTAAACTAAATTAATATAGTATCTAATTGACAATTGATTTTTTAAAAAAAAATAAAAATATTATGATAGTTATATTTTTATTTGAAAAATTTTAGCAACATAAAAATAGTAGTCAATGTTTTCAAAAATGTTTATACTAAAATCAACTAAAAACAATTGATTTGCTGATATCTATCCAACAACAACAAAAAATGATACTAATAATAATATTGATGATAAAAATGATGATTAAAACAATTTTTGTTGAAACAAACTTAATATTATTAATATAACATATGCTATCACAATAAAGACAATTAATGTTGTTTAGTATATGATATTTATAGCATTTATATTTATAAATACAAATACTTAATATTTTAGATTAAATCAGTATATGATATTTAATAGTTATTTATAGTTTATTACTACTGTATTAATATAGTGACTATATAATCAATTAGTAAATTGTGATGATTAAATTAATGAACAAAATAATATATATATTAATATATTAATATTAAATTATATATTAAATTAAATTCAAAGTTTTATAGAGTAGTCATCATATGATTTATCAATATTAGGTATCAGATAATTATTTTTTTTGATAAAATTAAAATTTTTTCATTATTAATTACCCTCACATATACACACATATATTATTATTATATATATATATATATTATGTAATACCTGAGCAAACGCTGTATCTGATCAATTGAATTGCTATCGCCGCTAATTTGTGCGTCCAGTGCGCACAGGGATGCATAGGCCGGATAGACAAACCCCAATAGATTGCATAACAATTGGGCAAACTGTCCGAATAACATATAGCCGACAAATATGATTATCAAACTGTTAGCCAAATACAGTCTGGATATACCGGTAGCCGACTCGGCTCTGGCCAACTGTTTAGTCCAGACATTGTCCTCTCGTTTCAGATAATCATCCAGTTTTTGGGTCCATTGTTGAACAAATGTCATGATTTCTATAATAATAATAATAATAATAATAATAGTTATATATTTGTTTAAAAAATAGATATTCAATACATATTTTTTAAAAATAAAATTTTATTATTATTTTTTGTTAACTATGTGTTTAGTATGTATGCTGTTTTGATAAAACATATTGTGTGTATATATTAAATAAAATACCGGTAAATAAACATAAATTAATACAAACCTGATTTTGTTGGTGTTAAATATTTTTATTGATAATAAATAATATTTAAAAACTAATAATTATTATTATTATACAGGTATAAAAACTTGTTTTTAAAATAATAGACGCAATTTATATTAAATTTATTATATACTAGTGTATTATAATATATATTTAGGATATTTTTTTTTTATATTAAAACAATGACACAAAAAATATTAATTTTAATATTAATTACATGAGGAGTGAATCATACAAATAGTGACAAAACGTTTTTTTTAAATAGTAAGAAAAAAACAAATATAATATATAATAATAATTAATAATTAATATTAAAAAAAAATTCAAGCAAAAAGTCTAATAAACTCTCGATGTTTGCAATATAATTATTATCTAATCAATAGGACACTGTCTCTCCATAGATACACTGTATACTATATATACTGTACTAACATACACACACACACACACACACATGTGATATACAATTACAGTATATATATATATATATATATATATATATATATATATATATATTCAATAACTTTATAATGTAGTAATAAAAATACTGTAATAAATTTATAATTGAGAGGAAAGTTAGTTTTTTAAAAAAAATCAAATAATAATTATTATTATTATCTAATAATAATCTCGAGTTAATGGTGAGTGAGTGAGTGAGTGAGTGTGTGTGTGTGTGTGTGTGTGTGTGTGTGTGAGAGAGAGAGAGAGAGAGAGAGAGAGAGAGAGAGAGAGAGAGAGAGTAAGTTAGAGTGTTAGAGAGTATGTGTGAGAGAGAGAGACTCTAATAGAGGTAAACACCTGTTTTAATAGACATTTTGATTTTATATTAGTTTATATTAATTTATTATTATTACTAGTATTTAATTAAACAAAAAATTACAAAACTTGTAATGTTTTTTATGCAATGGGTATTACAACAAATGTTTTAGTTGTCAATGACTAGACAGATATTTATAATAATAAAAACGTTTAGACATACAAACTATTTAGATATGATATTTAAAACTAATTTAAAACAATATTATATTAATAATACTGTAATAATAATAATAATAATACAATGTCATCATATTTATTTTTTAAATTAAAAAACTTTGAACCATTAAAATTGTTTTACCTTAAAATAATATGTAGTGTAGTATAAAAACACATTATTAGATTGTTATATAAATTTATATATATTATTATTTTTAAAGTTATATAATTTACAATAATATTAATATAATATTTTTAATTTAAACTCTAAATCTAGAGGAAAACAAACTATTTTAATTTTTTTAGGAAATAAAAAATTAATTTAAACATAATTATGATATAATTATGTATTAAATTTTTCCCTTTATAAACTTGTTTGAGATGAAAATATGATAAATAGATTTTATTTAAAACTATGATTTTTATATATATAAAATTTTTTTAAACAATAATTATATTTATTATATATTGCTTAATAATATTAATCAATTAATTAATTATACTAATTTAATTAAAATGAAACATTTAAAATGTTCATAATTTTAAAATAATTAAATAAATATAAAGTATTAGTAGATTAATAATGAAAATAATTTAATAGCTTATTTATTATTTTCAATACTGTAGATAAAATATTAAATAATGTTACACTATCTAGTGTTAGTAAAATAAACTATATTAATAGTCTATTATTTTTTACAAATAACTAAAAATTAGTTTTATTTAATCTATTAATTTTAAAAATAGAAATTAGAAAATAAAGTATTTTTTAAAAAATAGTTAGTTTTTAATTATAAATAAATTATTTATATATAATTTATTTTAAATACCATATAAGTAGTTTTATTTAAAAAAGCACAATTTAAAATACAATTGATTTTTGATAATTAAATAAATCTGAAATTTTTAAATATCATAGAATTAATTATAAATATTTATAAAATTTATTTAACAAATAAAACTACTTAACATAATAATAATAATATAGTAATTAATTAAAATTATTTATAGTAAATATTTTATTTTTTTACTAATTGTTTAATTTTTAAATCAGTTTACATAATATTCTAAAAATTAAAAAGTTTTTTGAGTCTAGACTTTATTTATAAAAACACATTATATTTTTTATAAATCTCTATAAACTAAATAATGCATATAATTATTATTTTCAATATCTATAATATAATTATTATTATTATAAAAGTAAACATTTGTATCTAATGTCAAACTATTATCTAATTATTTTTTTTATAAATATATATATTATTATAAAATGTTTTTAATGACATTGATTTTTTTTGTTGTAAATTCCGGTTAATTATTTAGTATTAAATTTATTTTATGTATGCTTCAATATTTTACATATAAAATATATTTATTTTTTTGTTTAAAATATATTTATATATTATGTAAATAAAACATTTAAAAAAATATATTTTATTTAATTAAATTGTTGACTATATATTGGTTTTTATAAAACATGATAATACAGTATTTTATTTGTAAGGTTTTTTTAATTTTATATATTAAAATTGACATAAAATGATATATGTCAAATTATTATTATATATTATTGTATCATTAGTTAAAATATTTGTTCAATCAATTGTGACAATTACTTGTAGTTTCTATGATTTTATTTTTATTATTATTATTTATTTAGTTTTTTTTTATTTAACGATATGTATTTATACAGTGTTTCCTATTTTGTTTTAAAATACTTTTAAAAACTAACTGTATTTTAGCTTTTCATTTATATATAAACATATGTGTAAATATTGGTGTATAATATTAATAATAATAATAATAATAATTTATAAATGTACTTAACAATTAACAGTTACAATTGATGGTAATAAATTAAATAAATTATTTTTTATTGAAATGTTTTAGATTATTTATTTTATTTTAAAATTATAAAAATGATTGATGGTTATTTTTAAAAATGTTTTTATTTTTCAAGTGTACTAACTATTTTATTTTTTCATTAGTATAATAAGTTATTTTATTGATAATAATTTTGTATGTAAAATATTAATTGTCATTCAAAAAAAATTATAAACTATTTAAATATAACTAAATTTTTAAGTAGATTTGGTTACAATTTCTATTCATTGATATTTATTAAATAAAAGTAATAGTATATGATATTTGAATTATTATAAAAATATAATAATATAATAATTTATTTTATTACTTGGATTACAATTTTTTGTTTAATACTTGTGTATTATTTAGTTAATTGTTAGAAAAAATTTAATAATTTATAAATTATATAAATAAATAGTTTAATTAAGTTTAATTTACTAAAAATTAATTGATTGATTTTAATATTTTGTTTTAATCACTATAGTGCATCGATTACTACAATGTATTATTGATAAATCAGTGTAATATATATATATATATATATATTAATAAATATATCAATTAAATTATATGATAATAATATACAATCTTATAATATTATCACTAAAAATCAGTATCCGACCCTAATAATTTTAATTTTATCATAAATATATATCAACAACAAAAAAAATATATATATACACATTTGGGGGGACTGGTAACTGTTTAAAATAAAAATTAAATAAATATTTTTTATGTAGTAAATTATAATTACCTGTCAACTATTAAGTATTATCGCACAGTTATCTCGACCTTAATTTATTTTTATCGCCAAAAAAATAAATAATAATAATATAATCCCGTTGGTCTGCACCCGTACACACTGTATACCCGTCCCGTCCAATGAAACACTATAAAGCATACATCACTGGGCTCTGCAATTGTACAAAACGCGAGTAATATATTATTTTAGTTAATATTATATTTAGTTTTTATCTATAAATATTTATTATTATAATAATTAGTATTATTATTACATTTATACTATATATAAATGTTTGATAACTGTTTTATTTATTTAATTTATTTGCCAGTAATTTATCAATTATATACCCTGTACTTATTGTCGATGATTATTGTTATAACTACTATTTATAGTAAATTTATTTTATTTTTTTGTATTTTTATTTTTGCTAATACTATACAGTTATATATGTTTAATATCATAGTTTTATTAATACCAATAATTTAATTTCAGTTAATAATAATAATTAGTGACACTTATTTAAAAATTGAATTAGAATTTAGAAAAATAATAACTACTGTTAATTATATAAAATTTTTTATACATTTTAAAAATAATTATTATTATTAATAATAAAATTAGATACTTAAAAATTTTTTTTAAAATATATAATGTATAAATTAGTTTTAAAAATTACATTATCTATAATTACTACTATCATCTACCCATACTTATTATATTAATATAATACATACATACCATCCCGTTATTTAGTGCACACCTACTTATTTTTTGTTGTTGTATTATTATTATTACTATACTTAAAAAAAAATTATGTCCAAAACAACTTATACTACATATACACCTATTAGTGCCAATGATGATGATGTTGTTGTCGATGGTATTGCTGTTGTATCGGACACAACAATCCCACCTAAACTACATGTGCCCAATGATGTGGACAATGATGCCGACGACTACGATACCGATGACCCTAAGCTAACCGCCTGTGGTATCGGCTCGTGGCGACCCCAATGGCTACAAGTGTTTGCCAGTCCGTTGTTTTTTATGATCAACTTTGCAGCCATCGGTATCATACAGGGTATGACCGGTGCCTACTTTATCGGGTCGATGTCGACACTGGAAAAACGGTTTGCATTTGATAGCAAAATATCTGGTCTTATACTGATTGCCGACAACTTTTCACAAATGCTGGTAATGTATATAATATTTTTTAATTTTGTTTGAAGTTTAAAATTAATTTTTATAAATAATATAAATATATAGATAGCTATAGATATAAATATTATTATTTTATTATTATTTATAATTATTTTTTTTTGTAAAATATATTTTTTAATAATAATTTTTAGGATATATTTTTTTGTAATCAAAAATATTTTAAAACTATTTAGACTATTTTTAAATTATTAGTTTAAATGTCAATAAAATATTTCTAGTTTTAATTAAGCAATATCAAAATTATTAACTTATTATATAAACCATAAATGAAAAATTACAGTTTTTATTTTGAAATACAGTATATTTTATTTTTTTTAATTATAAAAATTATATTTTATTTTTAAAAATAAAAATATCATTATTTAAAACAAAAGTTATATAGATTATTTGTTCTCTATCAAAAAATTTTAATTTTATTTCAATATTTATTTAACATACTTATTGATTAAATATCTATTAGTTACCAATTAATATATATATATATATATATATATATAAATTTATATATATAAATTATATATATATAGTAAGTTATTGTTAGTAAACTAGTTTTACAAACTGATAGTTATTAATTTATAAATAAATATTCATATATATAATAATACAGTATAATAAATAGCTTACTAAACTATTTAGGAAGTTATCAAATTATTTTTTTTTCATTCAATACTATTTGTAAAATTATTATTATATTAACTTATAATTTTCATAATGTATTATATTTGAGAAAAAAAATTTGTCATTGATATTTAGGTCTAATAAATCTAACCTTCAATTTGTCAATGAGATATTATTATTATTATTATTATTACTATTATAAAAATAGTATTATGTAAACTACTATTATTTAATAAGTGTTACAAAATTAAATGCTATTATTATTGTGTAATATTATATTTTGTAATTATCGCTAATATATATATATATACAAAATATATTACAATATTTTACAATAACTAATTAATTTTGTACTCATTAAATAAACAATAAATAATTTCTAAAAAATTATTATTACTAAAAATAATGATATATTTCTTAATAATAATAATAGTTTTTTTTAATGTTTAAATGTTTGTATCATATCATACATATGATAGATAATGTCATTTTAAAAAACATGTGCACAATATTTATGATTAAATTTAATTTTAAATTATTTTGTTAAAACTATTTTTTTGTCAAACATAATTTAAAAAAAACCAGTTAAGAATGCTAGAAAGCATTATTAGAAAAAAAACTTGAATATCATAAATATGTTGAAACCAAATAGTTGGTATAATTATATAGTATTAATTTATATAGTAACAAAAATAAAAAACTGGTAAAATATACATAATTTAAATAATGTTATGTAGGTTATCAAATGACTCGGTATGACAAAATAAACTCAACCATAGTCATGTAGGGTATCAAATGACTCGGAATGACAAAATAAACTCAACCATAGTCATGTAGGGTATCAAATGATTCGGTATGACAAAATAAACAACCATAGTCATGTAGGGTATCAAATGACTCGGAATGACAAACAAAACTCAACTATAGTCATGTAGGGTATAAAATGACTCGGTATGACAAAATAAACTCAACCATAGTCATGTAGGGTATCAAATGACTCGGAATGACAAAATAAACTCAACCATAGTCATGTAGGGTATCAAATGACTCGGAATGACAAAATAAACTCAACTATAGTTATGTATGGTATCAAATGATTCGGTATGACAAAATAAACAACCATAGTCATGTAGGGTATCAAATGACTCGGAATGACAAACAAAACTCAACTATAGTCATGTAGGGTATAAAATGACTCGGTATGACAAAATAAACTCAACCATAGTCATGTAGGGTATCAAATGACTCGGTATGACAAAATAAACTCAACCATAGTCATGTAGGGTATCAAATGACTCGGTATGACAAAACAAACTCAACCATAGTCATGTAGGGTATCAAATTACTCTGTATGACAAAATAAACTCAACTCTAGTCATGTAGAGTATCAGATGATTAATATAATGAAATAAACAAATATAATCATGTTTGGTATTAAATGATTTAGTATAACAAAATAAAGTTAAAATCATACTTTTGCTGCCATTTTTTGAAAAAATAATATAATTTTGATCTATTATATCTTATTTTTAATACTATATACAATTCTAAGCGCTAAAATTTACCTTAATTTTTTATACATGTCACCATTTTTTTTAAAAAAAAAAAATAATTTTAATTTATTATATCTTATTTTTGATGCTCTATACAATTCTAAACGTTAAAATTTTTACCTAAATTTTTTTTTATTTTGGCCGCCATTTTCTCTATGTTCCTGAAGAGATATCAAAATTTTAATGCATATTTTTATGCTTGCTTTTGATGCTCTATTCAAATTTATACTTAAAATATTTTTTCTTAAAATTTTCTTTACTTTGGCCGCCATTTTCTATATGATCCCGAAGAGATATCAAAATTTTAATGCAACTTTTCAATACATTATTAGTAGTCCTCTAACCGAATCTGAAGTCAGAATTTCAAAATTCGCAAAAAAATTGCTACACACACACACACACACACACACACAAAAGGCTCGTATAGATTTCAGAAAACAAAACTTTTCAAGTTTTTTTTTGAAAATTATAAGTTATTATTGTATGATATATTACTAATAAAATTGACAATTAATATCATATTTATATTTACACTAAATTTTAAAAAAAATTATTTATAAAATTAACAATAAATAATAGTATAGAAATTTTTTATTTAATATTTAATAAGTTATAATAAAACAATAATAATATAAAATATATTAAAATTAGATAAATATAACAATCATTTAAATTAATTATTTTAATCCAATTAAATATCTATTTATTTTTTAAATTATAACTTGGCAATTTAATTATTATAAAAAATAAATAAACCATACATGTACAATTTTAGAAAAAACATATATTTAAAAGTATCAATATATAAATTAATATATACTGTACATTAAACTATAGGTTAGTCCAATTATTGGCTATATGGGCACCCGATTCAATAGGCCACGCATGATAGCCAGTGGTGAGCTAGTACTGGCGCTGTCCTGTTTTATTACAGCCCTACCCTATCTGCTGTACGGTCCGGGCACTCACCTACTCCATGACGATAGACTGTTACAAAGCAAAATGATGCGCAACGAAACCCGCTACGAGCTATGTCCGGCCAATCACGACGACATTGACTGTTCAAACGGTAAACACTCGACAGTATGGCTGGCCGTTGTCTTGCTATGGTCGGGTAGTTTTCTCAGAGGACTGGGCTTTACAGCCTATTTTGTTATCGGTATGCCCTATGTTGACGATAGTGTATCCAAACGCAATTCGCCAATTTATATCAGTTTGATTAGTGCACTTCGGCTGATAGGACCGGCCGGCGGTTATCTACTGTCATCGTTGACACTACGCTTCTACGAGAATCCGTTTTGTAGGCCATTCCCCGATGACTTTATTATATATTATGGGGTTTTTAACTATTGATTACTAATACTATTATTACTATTAGACGACCCGGGCATCAATAGACGTGATCCACGATTCATTGGCGCATGGTGGATGGGATTCACGTTGATCGGGATCTGCCTGTTTTTTGCATCCCTTCCCATGTTCCTGTTTCCCAAACAACTTAAAACAGCCAGTGTTAAGGCTAAAGATCTTAAGGACAATGTCAAGGGTATGAAAGGTATGTGTAATAAACAAATGAAATAATAAATTTAAAAATAATTGAAATATTATTAATTTATATTAATTATACTACTAATCTATGTTTTCAATTAGTATCTTGGTAAATTTTTGTTTATAATAAATAATTTAGTTTGACTTTTTTTTAATTAATATTTTAATTTTTGTTGTGTAATTGTTCTTGGTAGTGTTAAACTTGGAGTTTATAAAAATAATAACTATAATTATTATTATTATTTTATTTAATAATTTATAATTTTTTGTTATAATATATACCGTATATATATATATATATATATATATATATATAATAAACTGTAAACTATTAATGTTTATATATAGTATAATAATATAAATTTTTTAGTTAATATTTAATTATTAGTTGTTGTCTACGGTGTCTCTTAATTTATTTTTATAATTTTATTATTATAATTACTACTAATGTTTAATAATAATATAAACTATAAAATTAAAGTATACCGTAGACACATCTAATAATTAAATTTTCAATTAAAAATAACTTCTAACTAAAATTAATAGATAATTATATAATAATATTTAATATTCAACTACATATTATAATATAAATATTATTAATTAATTAACTAATTTTTTTAAAATAAAATAATTTTCTTAATATAATTTAATTTACGTTAATATATTTTAATTTACATTAATATAATTTAATTTACATTAATATAATTTAATTTACGTTAATATAATTTAATTTACGTTAATATAATTTAATTTACGTTAATATAATTTAATTTACGTTAATATAATAATTTATAACAAAAAATATATATTTATATTATTTTTTTGAATATTTACCCTGAACATTTTACTAATATTTAAAAAATAGGAACAATAAAAGCTATCAAACGTTTATCAAGTAATCCGATACTAATGTGCCAATTGATAGGCAGTACCATACGTTATATAGGCATTGGCGGCTATGTTATCAATAAAGTCAAATACATTGAATCTCAGTACCGTCAGAGCAGCTCCAGTGCCAGTTTTATTACGGGTACTATATCTATACTACCCATGTGTGTCGGTATCATATTGGGCGGCTCAGGTATCAGTTGGATTAAACCCAGGGTTCGCAATCTGATGATCTATATGTTTATTGTGGAACTGGTATTCAATGGTGGTATATTTGCCGGTATGTTTATGGGATGTCCGCCACTGGAACTGCCACCCTATCACGATATGGATAACAAGTATGTACTATCGTCTATACTATCACAAATTGACTAATTAGGGGGGGTTGGATTGTTTGGAGGGAGGGGGTTATATAAAAAAATTATTATAAAAATATATGTAATATATTTTGTTGTTGAACTAATAGATTTACAATGAAGTCCCGGTGCAATGCCGACTGTGATTGTACTACCAGTGTGTTCACACCTGTATGTTCATCTGATAGGGCTACTACCTATTTTTCGCCATGTTACGCTGGATGTACAAAAATGAACCGGGATACCAATGTATACTACTACTACTACTATTACAATATATTAATAATATTACCTATATAATTAACTGTCCTCCCGTTCCCCCCCCAAAATTTAGACACTATCCCAGTGCTCGTGTATTGATGGCTACGGACAGACAGCTACCGCTGGCTATTGTCAAAGCGATTCCGATAAATGTGATAAAATGTTTCCCTATTTAATAGTCATAACAGTTTGTCTGCTAATATCGTCAACGGCCAGGACTGGCAACTATTTGCTATCATTTAGGTAATACCCGATTAACATAACAACAAATAAATGTAATAAAAGTTTCTCTCATAAATATAATTGCCATTACTTTCTAAATATATATTGTAAAGGGCTGTCGACCCAAAAGATAAAAGTTTTGCAATGGGACTGATGTCCACATTTATGGCCTTATTTGGTATGTAAAGTGTTTTGTGAATATATATATACAGTATATATAAATTAATTTTTAAGAAATTATATATATATATATATATATATTTAATAGTTGTTAATAATTCAATAAAATGCATGTCTAAATTATATATATATATAGATATAAATTATATACTAATACTAGAAATACAAATTATAATTTTTAATAATTTAATATTTAAAAAAAAAATTTAATACTCTTAAATATTTTAAATATGTAAAAGATTTTATGTATTTATGTATGTATGTGTGTGTATATGTATGTGTCTGTATGTATGTGTGTGTGTGTGTATGTATGTATGTATGTATGTATGTATGTATGTATGTATGTATGTGTGTGTGTGTGTGTGTGTGTATGTATGTGTGTGTGTATGTATGTGTGTATGTGTGTGTGTGTGCTTTATAAAAGTAATGTTTAAATATTAGCAAATTTTACGATAATTTTAAAAGTGTACCCCTGTTTAATATTTATTTTTGTTTGTTATCTTTTTTTTTTTAAAAATACAGCATTTATACCGTATCCACTAATATTTGGTGCCATCACCGACTCGGCCTGTCTGGTCTGGGAGAAAACATGCGGCAAAACTGGCAACTGTTGGCTATATGATCAGGATAAGTTTAGATACTATTTGCACGGTGCTGCATTTGCATTTATGATGGTCGGCACAATGTTTGATTTGGGCATCATTTTTATGGCCGACAAAGTTAAAGATTTCTACGATGATAATGCTAATAATGATAATGCTAATGGTAAGGGTAGTCTAGAAAAAGGTAATACAATCAATGAAAAACAGGCTAACGGTGCTAATAATAATAATATTGATACTAATGTGATACCTATGAAAACTATTAGTACCGGTATAGTAGATGATGATGATAATAAAAATCATGTTATTAAATTTGATGGTGATTGATATTTTTATTTTTATAGATAATAGATATATATGGACAGGTAGATAGATAGATGGATAGGACAGGTAGATAATGTATATGTGATTTTTTTAACCAAAAAAAAATCAGATTAAACTTCTATATTATGATACATCCAATTAGAAATATTTTCATAAAAAAACAAAATAATTTATATATATTTTTGAGATTTTTAATATATATAAAAATTAGATAAAATTTTTATCAACTATTCTATTTAAACATTCAAATAGCATATAATAATTTCTATAAAATAAATTAAATGATCAATTGTAGTTATAAATAATTTTTTTTAAAAAAAACTAATAATAATTTATTAATATAATTTAGTGAAATTTTTTAAATATATATTAATCAATTGTCACAATTTACATTTTAAATGCATTTTTAAATTTTTTATATTATGTTTTTATTATCAATTCTAAACTATATATTTATTTTGTTATCTAAACAACAAATTGATTAAAAATATAAAGCATTTAATTTATATATAATTTATTTAAAATTACATAAATATTTATGTTAAATTATGTAAATAATTTTTTATCTATATATATATATATAATAATATACATTTAAGAAATGAACATTAAAATACTGTACTATTTTTAAAATATATTATTTTACTATTATTTATAATTTACATAATGTAAGGTAATAAATGTAATAAAAAAATATAAAAACTTTTATTTACCTCATATACACATTAAACAAAATATATAGCTATATTAAATTATTATAAATGTTAACTAATCAAAAATTTTATTTTTGTTTTTATATAAATTATAATCAATTTTAAAAATAACTATGTAGATATATAATTTATATAATTATAAATATATTATAACAAAATAAATAATTTATTAATTTTAAAATTTATTAATTAATTTAATTTATTTATGCTTTTAAACTTTTTATACAAAAAAGTTAATATCTTTAAAATAGTTAGTATTATTTAAAATAATACATTACACATTTATAAAAAAATAAAATTGTATTATTAAATAATATATTGATTTTGAAGTTTTTATTAATAAATTTATTCATAATAATAAACAGTTTTTATTAATATTATTATATAAATACAATGCTATAGTTTATTAAAATATTTATTTATTATAATATTTATTAACTATCTAATCTATATAACTTATTTTTTTCGTAATTTATAATTTTATATTAAATTTTAATATGAATAAATTTTAAAATAAAATTAACTAACTTATTAAGATATTTAAAAACATATAAGTATTATAATCAAATTTAAATCATTATATAGTCTATATAATATAATAACATAAATTTATTATTAAAAATTTTATAAATAGATAAATTTACATATAAATTCAATTATTTTTTTTAAAAATATTAATAAAATACTAAGCTATTAAATGGTAATATTATTGTAATTTTCATTGCAGTTAATTACATCTACACTAATAAATACAGTACTTATTGTACGATAATTTGTATTATATATAATACATATTTCTAAAAACAATATCTATTTATTAGTTCATAATATTGTAAATGTAAAAAAATCTATTTTCAAATTAACAAATAAATAGATAAAAATATATTTTTAAAAAATATATTATATAAATATTATAGATGTTTGTAATTAAAAAATAATAATTTTGTTTTTTTTAAATAATAATCTTAAGATATTAACTATTCATTCAATAATTATAATATTAAATTATTTTTAAATATAAAATGTTTAAATCATACAGATATATAATACAATAATGAAATTATTAAAAGATTTTTATCAAACATATAAATCTCAAAACAAAAATAATAATATAATCATTGATGTGTTGACTATTGTTTATAAATTGTTATGTTTGGCAATATGTTTGTATCAAATCTATAATATAACGGATATGTATCTACAGTATCGGACAGTCATATCGATTACATACGACAACAAGCCTACAATGACAATACCGACAGTCAGTATATGTATTAATAAATTGTTGTTAGTTAGGGATGAATTTCTGGCCAACAATAGTATTAAACAAAGTGAACGTCAATCGGAAAAGACCATCAAATTGTTAGACCAGTTGACAATCGGTGAACAATTGCGGGCAATGTTAAGCTATGACCAGATATTTGTCAATAACAACGACTGTCTAGTGATGACTACCAGTAAGGAAAAGGTTGATTTACATGGAGTTAAAGTACCGTATGTTCGGTGCGATTCGTTGATTGCCGTCCAGCCGTCCATTGAATCCGATAATATGTGCTATACGTTTATGGGTGACGGCAGTGATGGAAACAACAGGTCAGTGCCGGACAGTGTGTTTCAATTGGACAAAAATCTGCTAAACTATCGCGACTCAACCGGTTTCATAATGATGCTGACCCTACAAACACATATCGCCCGATCGCATCTATTTATGCACCCCCGCCGGCAGCCCCTAGTATCGCCAACAATGTCCAGTTCGCTGCAACAAAGTAACCAGATAATCTACTGGCCCAATACGATCAGGTATGTATCCTATCAGAAATCAATTGTCCAGTATCTGGCCAGGCCCTACGAAACCAATTGTTTCGACTACCTGACCATTGGCTACCGGAGCCGTGTCGATTGTATTGCCCAATGTAAACGCGATTTGTTGATCAAGTATGCCGGCGGCGGCGGCGGTGTCGGTGGCAGTGGCCATCCATACAACCGATGGCCCGGCTATTATTTGACCAGCAATTTCAGTAACCATACATATTTCTATGACTACAATTGGTTACGAGATGAATTCAAACTGTTTGGCAAACTGTTGGCCACTTGCGGCGACCGGTGCCGTTACACATTGGACTGCCTGGTCGAGGAATATCAGTTGGGATTTTATCTGTTTTTTAGGCCACGGCCGACTAATACTATTGCTATACTGGCGCCCATCCAATCGGATCGGTTAGTCCAATATCAGCCCAAATTAGAGTTCATCGAGTTTATCATCTATGCCGGTAGTCTGGTTGGCCTATGGTTTGGTGTGTCTATTATGTTTGTTTCCGCTAAATTGGCTAACTGTGCCCGACGTTTACTAGTTAGTAACTACTTGAATGTACGGCTACTGTCCACTAGTAGTAGTCAATGTGAAAATGTTACAATTGTTAACAATACTAAACGTATATCTAAAATTGTTAGATGGTAAGCCTGGTCAATAATCACAAATAATAATAATAATAATATAAATATGTTAATGCAATACAGTTATATAAATAAATATTTTTGTTAAACAAATATAAAACTAACTGTATAAATTGTATTTTATATTATTGTACTCTACTATATATATACTGTATAATTTATATAATATTATATATCTACTATTTTATATACACTGTATATGTTTTTTAATTGATCAGTGTAATTTTTTTATTATTATTACATGTATATATATTTGTAAATGTAAATGCCAATATCCTATATTGTATCATATATTAATATTAATAATTTCAAGCAAACAAACAAAAAATGTTTATTTTTAATTTATTTAATGTCTTAATTTTTTTTAAATGTTTAAAATGTTTTGTTTTAAATATATATATATATATAATACATGTACTATATGTTATTTATATTAAATTTTCTGTACTAAAATTACATACAGTATTATATATATTATAGATTAATAAATAGCATTTATAAATCAAAATATGTATGTAAAATAAGATAACAATTAATTATTGTTATTCACATTTTTATTAATATTATTAAAATTTATTATAAATAAAATAATATAGTTTATTAAAATAATTATATTTATTATAATATTTGTTATCTATCTACTCTATAGCTTATTTTTTTATTATTATGTTAAATATATAATAATTTTTTGTATAAATTTAAATATATTTTTTTATCAAATCATGAATAATAAATGTTGAAATTAAATAAACTAATATATTAAAACATATAAGTATTATAATATGATAATAAATTGAAAATAAAATTTATTTGTAATATTAATAATAATACATATTTATTATATTAATAATAATACTTATTTATAATATTAATAATACTTATTTATAATATTAATAATAATACTTATTTATAATATTAATAATAATACTTATTTATAATATTATAATAATAATAATAATTAAAATACTGTATAATAAATTGACTGATACAGTACTTTTATTATACATATTTTTATTATTTTATGTTTTTTTTTAAATAACAGTCAGCATTGGTAGTGATAATTATATGAATCTTATTTAATATAATATTAAGTTTAATTATATATTTATATTTATTTTGTGTTAAATTAATAAAAATGCTAAAAATGTTAAAAGATTTAAAAATTAAATCCAACATAACTATTGATAAATTAGCTAAAAAACTATATAAACTAATTTGTTTGGCAATATGTTTGTATCAAATCTACAATATTACAGATATGTATCTACAGTTTAGGACAGTCATATCGCTTACATACGATGATAGGTCATCGATGATTACCATACCGGCCATTAGTTTATGTATTAATAAACATATGTTATTGACGGATAAGTTTCTCGAAGCTAACGGTATCGGGGAAAAGGATCGGTATAGTAGACGGACAGTTAAACTACTAAAACAATTACCGATTGACAAACAATTTTCGGCATTACTAAAATATAATGAAATATTTTTCGGTAATAACGATTGTATTGTACTTAAACAGTATGGCAACCATAGACTCAGGTATGTCCAGTGCAAAACACTGGTACCGGTTTGGACTCAAGTTGACCAACAGTTTAAATGTTATACATTTTTGGGCTACAACCAAAACAACCGGTCAACAGTTACCGATAATATTAGCAATGAGATGTTTAAAGTGGACAACAATTTACGTCAATATATGGGCATTACCGGTGCCATTGCCGGCCTGTTTCTGAATACTACCATTACTCGGGCGCATCTGTATATACACGATCGTAACCATAGACCATCGATCATTCAATCGTCACCTGAAATTCAGCAAAGTATCCAGGTAATCTATAGGCCCCAGACTATCCGATATGTAACCTATAGTAAAACGATTATCCGA